AAAAAAAAAAAAAAAAAAAAAAAAAAAAAAAAAAAAGGCAAAAACTTACCAGCCACAAGCCACCTCTTGGAGAATAACTCTAAAGACTTTTTCAGTGTCGCCACGTGGCTAGCCGCCTCGCTGTCGTGCTCTTCTATGGCCTGTTGCAGGTATATCGACGCTGCTTTATAGTTGACGTGTAGCACGAATGGCGCTATGATATTTCTGACTGTTCCATGCGCTCTGATGATTCTCTCCGCCATTTCCATCGTCGATTGAAGCACCAAGGAGCTCTCTGGAGAGAGTGTGGCGCCTGAGCGGGAAGAGGGCCGGCCTAGAGCCAAGTCTCGATGTGAGTCACGGTGATCTAGGAGCAGGATGGCGCTGTTTCTGTTAGTGCTTGTGCCCAATGAGACATCCGGTGCTAGTTATTACACAGCGTCGTACCTGAAGCAAGTCGACATTTGAGTGCAGAGTTCAAGTCGGCGCACACGAGCCTCGAGACGAGACACGTGAACCAAGGCAAATATGGTGCGGCGAAGCTGTGACGAGTCGTGAGAGCCCTCTGCGACATCTTGAATAACCAAGCTCAACAAGTGAGCTGCTTGCGCAAGTCGGGCGAAGCGCCCCATTTCTAAAGAATTGGCGGAGCCAAGAGTGCATGCACCCTCCGCCCCATTCGTCTGCGCAAAAAATTAGTCAGAATAATATATTACTGGAAAAAGAGCATAATTAAAAGTCACATGTCATCGTACCCCATTATCCCAAATTGTATCGTCAATGGGAAGATAATTGGATGTGACGGGGTCCGGCGTCACCAGCTGGCGTTTGGGATCGGGCAAGTTCATGAACCTGTAGGACAGACCAGTAAGACAAGTGTCTTTCAGTTTGACCGTCGGCGCCAATCATGTTCAGGGTTTTCATACCTGTCTATGGCAAGAATAGCCCACCACACTCGGCGACACTCCTCCAAGTCGAGCGATTGGATTTTGGGATCCGCATGTTCGCTGATGGAGCTGTCAACGCCAAGAGCCACGGCGTACCGCGCGCAGGACGAGATGGACATGAAGGCAGCTGGGTAAATGCCATGCCCCAGTTCGTAACAGGCGATGAAAACACTGGCTTGAAGAACGAGAAGCGAAAAGACGCCAGAGCCTGTGATGGAGAAGTGGAAACGCTTCGTCAAGTCGTATAGCTCGGTTCGGGCCGTCTTGGTCACGACATCGCCACTAAGAATCATGGCCAGCAGCAACAAATGTAATTCGGCGCGGTGGTATGTCAGCCGGTCGAGCAACAATTTGTAAAACTGAATCTTGGACACTATCGGCATCCAGACGTGCACAGTGGAGAAATGATTCTGCGCCGTCGTCCGAATGTCCGCAACGCTGCCGACAGCGGCAGTGACCTCGTCCGTCAACAGAGAGTCGATTTGCAAGGCGGGAAGTTGCAGTTGCGCATGTTGAAACACTTCAGGATCCAGAAAATACTCTGCGGCCAAGTGGTGTTGCTGTTTCTGCACTGCTGGCGGCTCAATGGCCTCTCTGCTCAGAGTGCTGGCTTGCGATGGGCTTGGCGTGTTGAGAGATGGCCATGGCTGCTGTGGTGAGTTGAGCGCTGGAACATCCGCATGCTTTGGGCGGACTTGTCTGCGTTTTCTCCGCTCTGGATATGCGCAAGAGGTGTTTTTTCTATAGCTCCGATATCGATCAGAAAACGTCTGAATTTTACTTTCGATGAATTTGGCTTGAATAATCCAAAGATCATTTTGGCAACGACGTACTGTAAACATAATGTGCACTCTGGTGTAATACGGTCGCATTTCCGTTTCGCTTCACGGCACTGCAAGCACGAATACCGCGAGCCAATTCGAACATCGGAATTATCGGCGGACATGGTAGTTGATGATGAAGAACAAGTCAAGGATCGCAGGTGCGGAGGCGGAACTATGCGTCCTGATGATGATATCTTCCTGGGCATGCCGAGGTTTATGCGGAGCTATGCGGGGCTATGCGGTCTTTTGCGGAGTTATACGGTAATTCGGGGTCATGATCTGCGCTGCGCAAGTGACCCCATCATAGACGGCTCGCATCGCTGTATTGATCATACCAATCTAACTCTTTTGCTTAGAAATCCGGCATTCATCTTCGGAAAGTCAAATCTTCAACTTGCTAATATAAAGAGGATGCCTCGCCATCGCGACTTTGGTTGAATTACCCAGTTACACATTCCGAGTTGTTGAAGTCATCACCCATCCCAAAACCACTCAGTAGTTACAGAAAACAGCTATCAAATATGGCGAAAACAACCCTTCTTGTAAGTATATTTTCAACCTTTTTCGACCCCGCTAGCCATCTCAAAAGCGTATTCTAATGATATTCAGTTCACCGGTGCCACGGGCATGATTGGCTTTAGAACCCTGATCCACCTGTTGGAGCAAGGTAGCTTCAACGTGCGCGTTGCTGTGCGATCGCAGTCGAGCCTCGACAAACTCTTGTCCTACAAACAAATTGCCCCATATGCTTCCCAACTCGAAAGCACAATCGTTCCCGATATTACAGTCCCTGGTGCGTACGATGAGGCTGTCAAGGGTGTCACACACATCATCCACGTTGCGTCTCCCATTCCCAGCGCCCAGACTGCGGATTTCGAGACCGACCTGGTTCAGCCCGCCATTCAGGGCACCGTGGGCATTCTGCAGTCTGCACACAAAGTCACTGGCATCAAGAAAATTGTCATTACCGCTTCAATAGCGGCCATCTCGTCAGAGGCGCATTCAGCATCTGGCGCCACCGTCACTGGTACGTGTGCACCACCGCTCAATTACCCTCTCGAACTTGAAGCTGACATGTGGTGGTGTAAAGAGGAAACCCGCGCTACTGACATCAAGAGGCCCTTTGCGAATGCTTTTGCTGCATACGCTGCTTCCAAGGCACTCTCGTTTGAAGCAACCGACGACTTTATTGCCAAGCACAACCCGGCATTCAGCGTGGTTAGAATTCTGCCGACCTTTGTCGTCGGCCGTGATGATACAGTGACCAATGTGTCGCAGATTGCCAAGGGCACCAATGGCCTTGTCATGGGACCCCTTTTGGGGCATCCACAAGACAACGCCATGTCTGGCGCTTCTGTGCACATAGACGATGTTGCCAAGCTTCACGTTTTGGCTCTGGATCCTGCAATTTCCGACCACGAGACCTTTCTCGCCAGCAACCCTGCTTCTTTCCAATGGGCTGATTCATTCGACATTGTCAAGCGCCGATACCCCGAGCAGTACGCAGCTGGCTTGTTCAAGTTTGACTCTATTCCGAGACCAGAGACTCGCGCCGTCCACGTCGACAGCTCCAAGGCGACAAAAACCCTCGGCATACAGTTTAAAACCTTTGAAGAGCAAGTTGTGTCCGTCGTCGACCATTACTTGGAGCTTGTTACGGCTAAATAATTGGGTCTGTGTGGGTTGCATGAAATGTTGGTAGCCTTTTGAAGCCGGTAACGATACGATTCGACGCTACTGTGGTTCCGCGATCGAGTTCGTTTTCATAGATCAATCTAATTCCTTGAAATCAAAAGGCCATGCAATGTACATGACCAATACAGGTCCTGTACATAGTCTGCAAATATACTCTATCTTCTTCTTTTCTATAGTACATATATATATAAAGTCGTTGTTCTTCCATGTCAACATCTCGAATACCTCAGATCGGTCGTACGTACGTCATTGTTCGGCGTAAAAATAAAACTGCTCTTCGAAATGCAACAGAAAATCCTTCAATCACGCTGCTTCAACGATGCGCGGAGGCTAATATTCTCCCTCTTGAGCCGGCCATTCTCCCTTCTCAGCTTGGCCGCCTCTTCCGAATGCTCCTTGAGCTTAGTCAGGAGCTCTTCCTTGTCCTCCTTGCCCTTACTCCGGAGCGCCCTGACAATCTTGCCGAGCTCGTCGTTGAATTTTTCATAAATCAGCTCATTCTCCGCCGAGACCTCCTTGTGCAGCTGGTCAATGGAGCGCATCTTGCTTTCCGTAGCTTTTAGAGTCGTCTCCGTTTCCTCTTGCAAAGACGCGTACTTGTCTTGCAAATCTTGAATCGTCTTGCTCAGCTTGTCACTCAAGGCTTGCAACGCCGGCGCGTCGGACGGTTTCTTGCTGGCAGAGGCGTCGCCGTGGTGGGTAGCATGATCCATGGCCTTTTGCATCTCGGCTTGTAGTGCAGCGCCGGCTTCGACCACGGCGGTCTTGCCGGTTTTCACCCGATCTCGAAGCCGTTGCGGCGATTGCAGCCTCAGTCGTCCCGGCGATCGGGTAAGTCCACCAACATGCTTGTAACCAGAAGCTGCTGTAGACGAGCCAAGCTGAGTCGGTCTGAGCATGGGAATGTTTGTTACGGAGAGCGCCTTAGCATGTCTGACAAAGGGCCTGGAACGTGACGGCACCTTGCTAGGCACACTGGCGCCATCTAAAGTCGTCAGACTTTCGGTGCTTTCCATGTTTTCCTTCTGCTGCGAGCCACCGCTAATGTCTCGTTGCAGTGCTTGTCCAGCTGTGGTATTGACTTTGCCTGAAGTCTGTTTTGAAAGCTGCAAGGGTTGAACTGTCTCTTCCTCGTCTTCGAGTGTTGTAGCCTCCAGCAAGCTCTTCAAATCAGACAGAGAGCTTCGACGTTTGTGCTTGAACCTTGACAGCGATGAGCCTTCATTTCTAGGCTCACCAATGGTGCTCAATGGATACTCTGCTCTGTGTGAACTCGTCGGTCTGCTCGGAGTATCGAATGCACCAGCAACGGTTGGCCGCTCCCGTGCACTATTTCCTCGCTGTAGAAGCCTGGGCAAGGAACTATCATCGCCCATCAATCCTTGCTTCATGGATCGTCGGGAGAAGCTGGACGGCTCGCCGGTTGCCGGGTTGCGATGCTTGCTCAAACTTCTCCAAACAGATGGCCGTTCCGATCTGTCACTGTTTTGTCGCATCAGCATGTCCAGTCCAAACTTTTTGCGCATTGATGAAGTATTCGACGCCAGAGATCCTGTCATTGATACTTCTTTGCGCAGTGTGGCTGAGCGGATTGACCCTATTGTAGAGGCCTCATACGAAAAGCTTTGGTTCGGGCTTGAGCTACCAAAGATTCGATCGCATTCTTCCACAAGCCGGTCCAAAAGGTTGATATAGTGAGACGCAGTTCCATCCATGACGAGAAGTTCGGCAAAGGCAATCGTCAAGGCGCCCCGGTCACCGTCATCATGGCAGCCGTCCAAAAGGTCCGCTAATAGCTTTATGAGGGAAGCAAACGCGCGACGATTCTGGGGCGCCATGTCAGAGAACAAGAAGCGGACAAAGTCTGCAAAGTCGCCGAGTGCCCTGCGGTTAGCACGATCCTGTAGCGTGTCCATGGACTGCTTGGAAATGACTGCGCCCATTTGCTCGGACCATGCTATGCGCAAGAAGTTTTCAAAAGCAACAAAAATGACTTCTGTGCTCACGTCGTGTGGCAAATCCCAGTCATGGGGATTTCCAATGAGGCGGTTGTAGACATCATTGACAAGCACTTCATCCACTGAAGATCGATTCAGCATCGTTCTACCGTTGATCGCCCCTTTTCGTTCCTGCAGTGCGGCTACATATGCTGTAAAGGTCTCCTCGAGTCGTATTATAGGATTATCTGGCGGCGTGTCCTCGATGAAGGAACGCTCACCACGAATCGATCCTAATATTGAGTGTGAGCTGTTGCTGCGGTGAAGCGAGGGTTGGCGCGCAGCGGTAGCAGTTGATATTGTCGGCTCTGGAGCTGTGATGCTATTGCTGTTGGCAGAATTGCTGCTGGTGGTTCCGCTCCACAGAGTCGATAGTAGCTTCACCGGCGATGCAGTCAAGAGAAAAGATCGTGTCTTATCCGCGCGGGGTACAGGGGTCGTCTGTGCAGAGAAGCTCAAGCTACGCAGTATGTTGCTGTTGTAGGAGACAATGGCGGCTGTGAGATCCATATTCGCAACGTTGAATTGACTATTGAGTAGTTGGATTACTGTTGACATGTTAGTAAAATTGAGTCATGAATGGCGATAGTAGCCACCTACTTCTTCGCGACATTGTAGGAATGAAATCTTCGAGGACAATATCGTCTTGGTATTGCTTGCCGTTGAGACCGGCGGTAATCATCGATATTCGCCTCAGGTCGTTGGCAGCGACTGTAATGACGATTTCGACACCGTAGTGCCCGACGGGCGCTCCCTTTGTTCCCCTCTCATGATCGACAACGATGCGCACAATAGCAGGCTCGCGACGGCCTTCGATAAGTTGGTCCGCGCCCTCTTGAAAAACGGCCGCGTATAGCCCCAGGTTGCTATCAGGCATGCGGATGGAGCGAAGTGTCCAGCGCGGGTCTTCCCTTTCGGACTCTGAAAAGCGCCCTTCGATTCTAGCTCTGGTCACATCCTCTCCCCACCGTGACGCCTTGCCTTCATACAACTCTTGCAGCAGGAAGCATCTTGCCGCTGGCGTTGGACTGGTGCTGTGCTCGTCACTGTGTGCATCCTTGATATCCTTTGTCGGCGTCATCCACGCGAGGCTGCCATTAGCAGACTCGGTGAAGCGCACGCTGGCAAGGTCATGCCAGCCAGTAAAGGCAAACTCGTATGCTGCAGAGCCACCGGCGGCATTCGTCATAGAAATGAGCAATTCTGCAGCTGACGGTTTGCCAATTTCTCTAAGCAAGTCTCTGCCTGTGAGGCGGCCAGTCTTTTTCAGGATGACGACGCAATCCGCAAACAGTAGCAGAATACCTCCGTTGTCGCTTTCGGTAAGAGAGACTCCAAATGGAGGAGAGAGCTCAATAAAATCAGCAGCTCCAATAAGACGACCTTTGGGCTCAAGATCTGCCGGCCAAGCCTGAATAATATTCCGAAGCTGGCTGGCAAGCTGAGGCTTGGTCGTTTCAATCGCATCCATTGAGCATATATTCGTAATAATGTCTCGAGCTTTCAACATTGACTGTAGTGCGGGATGAGTGATTGGTAGCGAAGCAACTATTTGGTCAATCAACAAACTATATCGAGGTAGACGCTGAACGGGCTCAATCAATGCGGATTTCGTCGCTTGATCACCTCGTTGGGGTGTCGCCTGGGGGTCCAAGAAGCCATCCATTGAAGTTGGGAAATGCTGGCTGGCCTTGATATAATCTCTGTAGCAGTCGGAGAATTTCGGAAACCACTCAAGGAAGGCCCTTGCCATGGCAAGAGCACCGATTGGATCTTTGGGACGTGCCATGCCGGCCTGGCGAGGGCTAAGAAGGTGCGCACTATTGCCCTCCATGTCTACCAATGCCTCTTCTTCTGTCTCGTCCATGACATTTTGCAATTCCGTCAAAAATGCCGAGTTGAGTTTGAGAATCTCATCAGCCGACGTCGGAAACAACCGCGCGAGTTCAACTTCAGCAGCAGTGAGGCTCTGTCCCTCTCTCTTTTGGACCCCATCGCGAAACTTGTCGACGACAGTGTGGGCTAGCTCGTTGAGCTTCAAGACGTAGCGTTCCTCGGTGTCGACAAGCTCCGCGAGCTTCATGCGCAGCTCAATCTTTTGCTCCACGGTAAAGGTCTTGCTCTTGTTTATCGAGGTCGGCTTGGAAGGCGCGCGGCGCAGTCGACTCGTAGGAATAAACACGGGCTCGCCAAACAGCTTTACCAGCGGAGTATAGCCGCCATACTGTCGCAGCGTCGGGTCGAGAATGTCGTCTTCGTCTTCGGGCACGTCTTCGAGGTCTTCTTCTTGGAGCGGCACAATGGAACCCGGGGGCAGGACAAGGTCAATGTCGAGGTTGCTCACGTGCTGCGGCTGAAGCGCATCCTGAATTGCCGACACGACGCCGGCCGTGTTATCGCTCGGGACCATGTCCGCCACGACGTTGGCGGCGTGCTGGTCGTCAAACAGCGGGACATCGCGGCCGAGCTGCCTGGATCTGGTAGGGTACGCATTCTTGAGATGGGCGCGGACGACGTCGGGTAGCTCGCAGAAGTAGCGAAAGAGGCCAAAGGCGAGGGCGCGGTAGACATCGTCACCCTGGAACTCGCGCGGCAGGCGGGCGACGACGCTGTAAAAGGGCGAGTTGGGGGAGATTGTCAGGCGCGGATAGCTGCGCAGGCCGGCGGGCGAGAAGACGTGGATCTGGACGCGCGAGCTGTTGTGGGTGGCCGTCGTCGAGGCGCCGTAGAGGACGACGATGGGGATGTGACCGAGGAGAGGATCCGAGGCGTGGTATGCGACTAGCTGCTCCGGCGCGAGCACAATGTCGTCGGTGACTCGAACCATGACGGCGGTGGTGGTGGCTGCGGCGGCAAGCGGGCGTCAGGCGGCGGGCGGGAGGGCGGTCAACGGTCGTGGACCATAGCCGTAACGGTGTTCTGGATGGAATGCGCGCTCAATACAAAAATCGATATCTGGATCAAGAAAACGGGGGCATCGAAAAAAAAAGTAATAACAATAAAGAGATATCCAGGTCTTGGGGGCGGGGGGGGGAAGGTCTCAGTTAAACTGGGAAGCGGAGCGCAAATGCCAACACAGTGCCCTCCCCGTTTTGTTTGCCCTTGGCTTGCTTCAACGGCCACCAAGAGCCTGAAATCGGGCCAAATTGGGGGCCACAAAATTCGAGAGGCTTCCAAGCGGGTTTCGGGCCTCTTAGGCGGTCGCCAGCTTTTAATTTCTTTAACCTCGACGATACTTTGTCCGACCTTTGAAGAGTCGATTTAATCCAAGCTTTTCAACGCGGCGTGGCCCATGTGGGACGCGTCTCGGCTCGTGATGCTGTGTTGCTTTATTTAGATCACTCGCGTGCCAGCATGTAAACAAAACGGGTACTTGTCCGCCCTGCAAGATTTCGCTGTGGTGGGGGGTACCTTGGCGACGCGGGGCACTACATCCATGTATCAATGTATTTTATGCATAATTAACGAGGATTTATAATTGACGATGATGATTCAAAGTAATAACCTCCTTATTCTCACATGATTGAATATATCTGCACGCATTAATAGTTCACACAAAGAGGGAAAAAAAGAAAGAGGAAAAAACATCCCCTGCAGAGGCTGCCCTTTCCAAATCATATCGCAGTAATCCAAAACACAGTGGTGGTATCTTAATAATCTAACAGGCTCAAGTCAAAATGATCAAAAACTCCAAAAGAAATACCCAAACTCCGAGTCATGAACCCAAGTCTCCAAGACATGTCTATCCAAACGACAAAAGCCTTCCCAATTTTTTGACGCCAAAACCATGCATGCTCATCATCTCATACAAAAAATTATACACAGAAACTTCAAAGAGACATCAGTGCTTCGATCAATCCTCAAATTGATGTCTCTTTCCCTCCCTCGACGCTATTCGCTTTCGCCTATCTTCTCCCAAGATAACCGAAGCGAGGCGTTTTACCAGCTCCTCCTCGTCCCAGCCGCCAACGTATACCGAAAAGGCATCCACGCAGTCCACGTGCCAACGCTCGAGTTTCATAGACTCGCCTTTGCTGTTGACAAACATGCCAATGTACTTGTCCGCGCGGCTTTTTCCCAGATCGGGGAACTGACCCTTGCGACGGGCTCGGACAATCGCCTGCAAAAGTAGCCAGTGCTGGTCCGACCAAGCCGTCTGCGACAAGACCATCTGCGAGAATGCTGCCCCTGGCTCACTCTCCTCCAGCGGCGGCGCGTCCGTCATGGAGACATCTGACGAGCCCTGGCTTCTCTGGTCGTTGCCGCTGCCCTCGTTCACTTGCCCGGTCAGTAATGGCGGCTGGCGATCCTTGGAGCAGTCGTCAAACAACAGCTCGGGCAGCATTCCCTGTACCACGCGGCGCTTGTAGCGCGCCAGTTCCTGCTCGTGCGGCGACATCACACTGCTCGTGAATTCCACCACCCGGCCTGGCGTGTGCGGCTTCAGCGGATTGCGCAGGTTTGACTTTGTCGGCTGCGCATCCTTTGGCGGCAGTGGTTTCATGAACGGCATGATGACATCGTCACTGTCGTTGCTGTCCACGCTGTTGCAGCCCCATCGAGGATACCGCTGCCATTTGACAATGTCCTCATCTGACATGCCCGATCTGGGGCCCCGCGGTTCTGTAAAAAGCCCCGATGACACCGAAGACCCCTTTGCCGCCGAGGAGGGCCCTGCAGCCGCCTGGCTCGCCCCTTGCGACCATGGCGCTGGATTCGACTTTGGTGGCATCACTGCTGGAACATGACGCACATCCGAAATCCTGCTCTGCGGAATAGGTGGATTCGTCTGCGTCTTCGCTTCTCCCGCACTTCGAGACTTCATTGCCTCTCCAAACGGGGTTGCGAAACGGCGCAAGGACCAAGGCCGCGGCGTGCTTGTTGAAGGAAGCACGGGCTGCGCAACCGACGTGTTCGGGGTCGCTTTTCCAATCTTGCCGAACATATTTGGACGGCCTTGCCCGCTCAAAGTCGGGCGAAGGTTCCGGCCAATAATATTCGGACCAGAGCTCTGAGAAAGCGGTTTTGAGCGAGAGTCCCGAGCAAGTATGCTTGCACGAGAGCTCTTGCCAAACGAGCCCCGACCAAGTGTCTGTTCCCACCAAGTTGAAGGAGTGCGCGTAGACGTCACCGAAGATTCTGAGCGCTGCGTCGCCGGCGTCGGCTCCTGCTCGCCCAAGTTCAAACTACTGTCGGAGACGGGGGCTTTCTGTGTCGCCGGCGCCTGGGGAAACAGGCGGCCTGCTGGCACCACTGGAGGCGCAGGGGCGGGAATAAGAGCAGGAGTAGGAACGGGAGCTGCCTCGGCGCGTTTGGTCTTCCCTGGGAAGAATCTGTCCCTCAGCATGCCCGGAATGGCAATCGGTGAGGAGAAGAAAGTCGACAGATCAAATCTGCTAGCCTTTGCAGCAGACTCGGTGAGGTTCTGTGCCTCTTCCGCTGCCCGCTTTCGGCCGAGGAGTGAGTACTCCTCTGCGTCTTCCTCTAGGCGCGAGGGCTCCTCTAGACGCGAGGGCTCCTCCTGGCGCCGGGGCTCTTCCCGGCGCGCGGGCTCTTCTCGGCGCACGGGCTTCCTCCATTGCGCTTCTGAGCGCACATAACCCAGCTCGCGCGCACGCCGAACTCGGCGCGACGCCGTATCGCGACGCGAAGACCCATCCCGGCGCCGTGGTGAGCCAGGCTGGTTAGTCGCAGACTGTGCAAGCCCCTCCTGTGGCGTGTTAGCAGTCGGTGCCTCGCCATTTCGCATCCACGATGTTGACGCCTCTCTGAGCGGTGGGAAGGTCTCCTTGGCAACCCTGTTCCTCTTCCGCGCTCTTCCACCAGAAGACGAATGCTTTCGCCGTTTCGGTGATTCCCTTTGCGCTTCCGCCTCCCACATGTCCGTGTCGTTGGCTCTAGGTGGCGGGAGCGGCGGTAACTCCGGCTCAGACATGACTTCCTCGTCGGGCCTAGCTGGCAGCTGCCATTCTCCTTCCGATTCCAGTTGTGCTTGCTCTAGCGCTGGCTCACTAGACACAGACGCAGGCAGCATAAAGGAACGTGCGGTAGAGTTGGTCGCCGCGGGCCGCGAAGACATTGCATTCCTCACAACATCTTGGAGCGTGTTGTCGCCGCGCAAGTCCGGGCTAATCGAGCCTTCGTTGATGATCCAGCTCAGATTGACGTCACTAGACGGTGACGGCGGCAGCGAGTTCGTCCCAGAGGCGCGGTCAACTGTCAATTCTTCGACCTGCGGAGCCGCATCTAGAGACGGGCTCGCTAAAGGCAAAGGTTCGACACTATGAATTCGCTCTCGGGGAGGCGACTGTCGCTGCGGTAGCGACTCTACCGTGGCCACTGCAATGTCAAGGCTCTTGGTGCTCCTGCGAGGGGGGGAATCTGGCAGCGAGTTGGTCCCAGAGACACGGTCCACTATCGATTCTTCGGCCTGCGGCGCCGCATCTAAAGACGGGCTCGCTGAAGGCAAAAGTTCGACACTGTGAGTTTGCTCTCGGGGAGGCGACTGTCGCTGCTGCGCCACAGCTCGCTGTAGCGAATCCACGTAGTCCACTGCAAGTTTCAGGCTCCTTCCGCGAGGGGGGGCCTCTGGCACCGGGTTCGTGACAGAGACGTGGTCGACTGTCGATTCCTCAACATGCCGCGCCAAATCTAAATATAGGCTCGCTGGAAACAAAGGTTCGACACTGGGAGTCCGCTCCCGGGGAGGGGACTGTCTCTGCGACGGCACAACTGGCGGCATCGAATTCACGGAGGTCACTGCCAGGTCAAGGCCCCTTCTGCTGGGGAGAGACTCTGGTGGTGGCGAGGCTGAAGCGGAAACCAAAGGTAAAGCCTCAGTTGGTTGCGGGGCACTCGGCTTCTTGATGCCCCTCGCAAACATGCTCCCAGTAGTCGGAGAGTGCATGGCAAGAGAGGGCTCTCGGCGCGGGCTCAGCTGCGGCGCTTTCGAAGCCATGTCTGAGGGCTTGACGCTCTTGGTTGACTCCCGGGGCGACGAAGGGTGCTCATTTGAGCGAGACGACTCACCGATGCTCTCAAAAGTCAGCGCCCGCAATGCCGGGCTCTTGCTGGCACGCGCGCTCGGGCTTTTGCTGGGCCGGCCGCTTGCCTCGTGCTCCTTTGAGCCAGAGCGAGGCTCCTTGCTGCCGGAGATTCTAAACGGACTGCCTAGCTGACGCTCCCGAGCTTCCGGGGATGGCGGGTCCGACGTGACACTCTGCAGAGCACGACCAATTCTGACAATGGGGGAGAGCGCCGGGCGAACATGTCCAGCCGGCGCAGACTCTTGGGCCACAGACTGTGGCTGCTGAGTCGGGGATGGAATCTGTTGGCGGGGCGTTTCTTCCAGCGACGAGCCGCTGACCTGAGCAGCAGACCCTGCCTGTTGAGCCGCCCAATACCGCTGGGACCATGGCGTCGACGATGGCCCAGCCAAGTGGCTCGCTTCGACCGGAGAGCCAATGAACGAGTGCGTTCGAGGCTGCTGATGCGCAGAGACGGGGGTCTCCTGAATAGGAGCATTCTGCGGAGAGCTGTCGGGTGTTGGCAGTCGAGTTGCTTCAGGCTGCGCTTCGCTGGCAGTGGAGGGGAAGGGAAGCTCTTCGGCTACCTCTTCTACAACCGCCTCTGCAGCTTGCTCGCCATTGCTGTTCTCTTCGCCTTCGTCCGACATCACTGCGTCATCTCCGCGCTCTGCTTGCTGTTCCTCGCCAGTGTCCGCATCAGGCACTTCAGAGTCTGTCTGTGCCGCTTGCCCTGCCTCTTGCTCGTGCTCAAAGTTTGTTTGCTCCGGCTCGTGTGCCAGTTCGGCATCTTCAGCAATCTCTGCCACGGCCGCGTTCTGCTCTTGACTGGCTACAAGCTCATCCATGATCTCGTCCATTTGCTCATCATTGAGCTCTTCCCAACTCATTTCTCGCCCATTCCTCGGCGCCATCCTTGCTAGAACCTCCTCAGGAATCTCCGAAAAGGAATCTTCGTACATCATGGAATCCTCCATGGTTTCTTGCGCTTCGGCGCTATCTGATGACGCAGGTCTCACTGTTCGCTCAGGAGAGTCTGCTGCACGTGGACTCTTGCGTGGAGACCTCGAGCCTTCCCCGACATACCGCTTGGCAACACGGTAGCGGAGCGGTGACGAGTTCGCCGCCTTTCGGGGAGACGGCATCAATCGCGTGTTGCGAGACATGGATGGAGACGGGCGGACGGACGGCTGTCTGAACGACGTCACTTCGGGCTCCGGCTCCGGTTCTACTGCCACTATTTGCGTGGCAGCTGCTTCGATCTCAGCGCTGACCTCTTTCTCAACTTGTCGTTCAAGGTGAGAGTATTCCTCTTCCACAATCGTCTCCAGCAAATGTCTATCGTGTGCAGGAGCGCCAGGTGCAGGTTCCGATTCATGCTCGACTGCAGCCTCTACAACCTGCGGTCGCAACGTATCTGACTGACCTTCAAGATCAGATTCAGATGCCACGTTGGCAACCAGCGGCTCGGGCGCAGCAGCCTCCTCTTCAGCCGGTTCGTTTTCAGACTCGCGGCTGGCCAGTGAAACTGGTTCATCAGGCTTATCGAAATTCACAGCCACAGGTTGCGACACTTCTGGCTGAGCTTCAAGTTCAGATCCAGATTGCAAGTCGGCAACTGCTAGCTGCGGTGTAGCAGATTCATCTCGTGCCGGTTCGTTTCCAGAATCACGGCCACTCAAAGTATCTGCGTCATCATCTGCATCGTCCTCGCCTTCGTCTTCTCGGTCAGCAACTTCGCCCTGGCGAAGATACTCTAGCGTGTTGTTGATGATGAGGTTTGTGTCATCACCAATGTCGCTATACTGAGATGGAAGGGGAGCAACGCCCTGTGTGCTTGCTTGGAGTGAAGGGATCGAATTCATGAGGATCATGCTGAAGTCCTCGCCCTGTGCGATGGTGTCATTTCTCATAGTCATCGTAGGCCCTGCCAGTGGCTCATCATCAACAGATGAGACATCACTGGCGGCTGGCGCAAGAAAGCCATAGTCGTCTTCTGGCACTGACGCCTCTCGCTCTTCCTGGAGCTCTTCCTGGAGCTCACTCTGGCGCTCTTCCTGGCGCTCTTCCTGGCGCTCACCCTGGAGCTTTTCCTCGCGCTCTTCTTCGCGCTCTTCAATTCGCGCTTTTAATGTCTCGACTGGCTGTACAGAAGCTCTCGGAGTTGTTTCGCGTGAAACTGCTGCCAGCCAGAGATCCGACTCTGGCTCCGCTTGCGCCGGCGGTGCCGGCATGCCACGCTCTCCATCTGTTGTTGCCGTAGTCGTAATATCCCGTTGCAAGTCGTCTTCGCTTAGAGGCACCTGAGTATTTGCCGCCGCATGGTCGGCAGCATCAGTGCGTCCAGCAAAACGACCCGGCACCACGGGCTGTCGCCGTCTACGCACGCTTCGCTTCGCCGGGCTGCCTCTGCGTGCTGGACCTGTGCCCAGCTCGCTGGACGGCTGAGCAGCCCGGTTTCTGGGCGAGAGTGCGCGGCGTTTCGGCGTGGGTGACCTCTGGGTGAGGTCGTCCGCCATCGAGTCAGACTCTGAACTGTCTGGTCTCGTGTCTGGCTGGCGGGGTGTTGTTTGCGGCGCCGGAGAAGGCTCTCGTCGCCTCTTCCCCCTCGCGAGTTTCGGAGCCGGCGTTCCATTGGACGCGCGGATCCGGGTCTTCCGCGGTTGCGGCGTAGCATTCGTCGAGCCCAATACATCACTAGACTCGTCCTCGATCGAATACTTGAGCGGCACCGTCGTTGTCGTCGTCGTGGCGCGTTCGCGAGAAGCGCCCGACCTCGGCGTCGGGAAGAGTGACTGGCGCGTGGCCTCGTCTGCCGTGCCGTCCTCGTCCGTCTCTTCCACGCTGACCACTAGGCCGCCCCGTGTCGACCTCCTGCTGCCGCCGCCGCTAGTGCCCTTGCTGAGCTCGTACGCCTGCTTTCTAGGCGAGGCGCCGAGCGACAGGAACTTTTGCGCGCGCTGGCTGCGGGTGACGCGCCGCGTGTTGGAGGAGGGGGCTTGGTCTGGGGAGGCACCATCATTGAGGGGATCCGGCGACGACATGAGGTCGCCGCGCGGGGTGCCTGGGTTGGCAACGCTGTGCCAGCGCAGCTGATATGAGTCGGGCTGCGCACCGACAGAGGTGTTTCGTCTGGACATTTCCATAATGGGCGTGGGGAAAGAGGCAAAAAAAGAGGATAAGTCTTGTCGCTTAATCCCAACCCGTGGAGCTGCAGAGCCATGGAAAATGGAATGCGAAATCCTGGGGAGAGAAACGGGGGGGAATTTTATAGAGAAATTTTTTCTCGTTAAGCGCCGAAAGTGTTTGCGATCGCGTCTTGCGATACCTAGTACAGCCGCGTACAGACGTTACAATATTGGTTCTGGTGAAAGGTAGTACGCTGCTGTGTTGTTTACTTAGCTACCCGATCTGGATTAGCGTGCATAAAGAAAGGCCGTTGGTGGGACTTTGCCGGATAATACTATCACCGTTTCCGTGAAAATTTTAGTTCAGGTCTCACAGCGTAGCACACAGTCACATGCGCAGCGATCGGGGGACGAAATGGATGGTTCATGATGAACTTGACGACTACAATATCCGTAAATTGCATGAAATTTGGATCTCCAATACTGATTGCGATGAAATATTTCATGATATCGTTTGTACGGTTTTGAATTGCTGGTCTAGCGAGTAATTGCACTGCTCTCTGTGTCTTGCGTCATCCTGGGCGGCGCCCAAGTAACTTGACCGCGTGATTATGTAAATTGCCAGGCACAAGCCCAAGTGTCGCCGAGAGCCCACGAAAAAGAATCGACTTCAATCAGCCTGGGGTACCTTTCACCACTCTAGTTAGCGCCTTATTCATTTCTCTGTCTGCAGCCGAATGTGCGGGATCGTCCCACGCTTCGGCATCCACCCCCACGGGACCTCGGCTGAGAGCTTTCCATCTAGTTAGCTCAACCACTGTCACATTGAACCACGGATCAATGCGCCAAACTCAATCTCTCATTCCTTTCATACATTCGCCAGCATCTCCCTTTCATCAACCTTCTTTATCCTTTCTCGTTTGTGCTCCATCTCGATGAACAGAGCCTCCCCGCCATCCTCTCGCCAGTTATCCCTGTCCTGATACTCCACCATCCTGAACAATGGCCGCCGCCCCCCAAAACGACAATGTCACGCACGCCCTGGCTGGCGCGGGCGGTGGCATTCTGTCCATGATCCTGACGTACGAACGAGCTCTGCACTCCCGCCTCCTAAACAACTGCGTCGTTTCGCCTGCTGACCACAATTTGCCCCTCCATCCAGATACCCGCTCATCACCCTGTCGACCCGCGCGCAGGTCGAGTCGAAAAAGGCCGACAGCAAGTTCAGCGACGCCGTGCAAAAAATCATTGCCCGCGAGGGCATCGCCGGCCTTTACTCGGGCATCAACTCGGCGCTGTTCGGCATCAGCGTCACCAACTTTGTCTACTACTACTGGTATGAGTGGACGCGCTCCTTCTTCGAGGCCGCCGCCGTCAAGGCCGGCCGCGCCAGCAAGAAGCTCACCACGGTCGAGTCCATGATCGCCGGCGCCATTGCCGGCTCCGCCACTGTCGTCCTGACCAACCCCATCTGGGTCGTCAATACCCGCGTCACCACTTACAAACACGACGTCGATGCCGACCTCGAGGCCGCTCGCAAGGGCCGGCCCGCCGCGCGCCGCCCCTCGACCCTAGCTACGCTCATGACCCTCCTGAAGAAAGAGGGGCCCCAGGCCCTCTTCTCCGGCGTCATGCCCGCCCTCGTCCTCGTCATCAACCCCATCCTCCAGTACACGCTCTTTGAGCAAATGAAGAACGCCGTCGAGCGCGGACGCAAGGTCACCCCCACCATTGCCTTCTTCCTCGGCGCCCTCGGCAAGCTCTTCGCCACCTCCGTCACCTACCCCTACATCACCGTCAAGAGCCAGATGCACGTCGCCAGCGGCTCCAGCAAGAAGGAGGGCATGTCCCAGACCCTGAACCGTATCGTCCGCGAGGAAGGCTACGCTGGCCTCTACAAGGGCATCGGCCCCAAGGTCACCCAGAGCGTTCTGACGGCTGCCTTCCTCTTCGCCTTTAAGGACGTTCTCTTTGACCAGATCGTCCGACTCCGCAGTGGCCGCAAGATTGCCGCCAAGTAAGCCAGGCACCACACCGGTTGCAAATTCTGGCCCGTCACGACGAGACGACTGAGCCGCGAGCTCTGCGACCAGTATATCCTTCGCAATCCGGCTATGATAGATGTAGGCACGTTATACTCGATTGACATGCGTGGCAAAGCCGAAGAGCAATAAAAACTCTGAGGGGCATGTGCAAACATCATGTTAGGAACATTTTAGACTCGTGGCACGGATTTAGATGCATGGCTAGCTGCTTTCCAACAAATGTACAAATTCATAAAGGATCTAAGGCTCCTCCATCGTCAACCATTGCGGTCTGAACATCAACTGGGTATAACTGTTATTCTGGGTACAATCCATGACGGGTGGTATGCCTTGTCCGGCGCGGGAATTTCAACCGTCAAGCCCAGCGGCGCCTTTCCCTGCAGCCCCTCGCTCGCCTTCTCACCCAAGCCTGCCAGCGCCTTCTGCAGCGTCGTAATGGCAATGCCCGTGGCGATGCACGACTTGAGGCCGTTCTTGACGCCCGCCACCCAGCGCTCATGCGAGCCCACAGAAAACGACTCCTCGGCGGAGAGCCTGCTGAGGGCCTCGAAGCCCCTCTTGGCGCCGACCAGCGCGCGCTCGCCGTACGCCAGGAGCTCGTCCGAGGGCGTCTGCGGCTGGCGGCACCCCGCGGCGAACTCGGCAAAGGAGGGTAGGGAGGGCAGGCCGATGGCCGCAAAGGGTTTCATACGCAGGTTGTGGCGCAACTCGTCGTTGCTATAAGGTCGGGCGGCAGCACGCACGAGCTTGTGTCGCGCGAGGACGGTGTGCAGGCATGCAAGAACGTCGGATAGCTCCCAGGTAACGGCGGCGTCGAGGAGGGTGAGGCGCGTGGAGGCGAGGGCGCGCTGAAGCTGCTTCGTCGCGTCGGGGTCCGTGGTGGGCGAGGTGCGAGCCTCCTCGGCGCGGTGGATGATGAAGGACTTGATGCGCTCCGCATGTTGCAGGCGGCTTTTGGCGAGGTAGTTGAGGTACCAGTACATGGCGAGGTGCTCGTCCGGCTGATAGACCTCAAGCTCGAACCCCAGCTGCACAATCGTCTCCATGAGGCGCAGCTTGTAGAGATAGGTCCATGAAGAGAGTGCGAGGGCGTAGGATTCGACGGGCCGGGCAGAACTGCTCATCATGGAGGCGCGATGCACGAGGGGCCGCTCCTTGGTCTTGAGCTGAATGAGGTGGTCAATGTCCTCGGCATCCATCTGCAGGTTCTCCCAGTCGCGAATGAGGTGGCAGAGCGTGCGACGGATGCGGCAGCGGTTCTGGCAAAAGGTGCGCAGAATGTCGAGGTAAGGTTGCGCGGCGCGCTCGCGAAAGAGTTCCGTTTGCTGGGACATTACGAAGCGCACATCTTCGACAGCCTCGATGTCATCATTGCTGCGCGCAAGAAGCGGACTGGCGGGGAGTGTGAGGATGGAAAGGTCGTCGTCCAAAAGCTGTCGAATACTCATGCATCCGAGAATCTGCATTTCGTCAAAGAGAAATGTTTGCAGGAGAGTTCTCACGTATACAAGCGGCTGGGGCTTTTTTGCTTGAAATGTCGACACAAAGGTCTAGTCCGCGTTAGCATGGCTGAAGTGAGTGGCAAATGGGACTGATGAGAGCATTACCAAAAGACACTGCGAGTCGGTATACTTGAGCACGTTAACGACCTCGCCGCCATCCTCAAACATCCGGGAGAGATGCCCAAAAGCCTCCTTGAAGTCGATCTGCACAATGGGTCGGGGAGGCATAGTACTAGCCAGCTTTCGCTGCAGCTTTGCCGAAAAGGCTTCATCGACATCCTTGGCCAGGGCATGCGTATTTTCAATGACAGGGAGTATGTCGGCAGCCTCGATCCAGGGCGCTTGAGCCTTGGCAAAATCTCCTTTGTTCTCTGGCGACTCTGCAGCTTCTAGGAATATGCGTCTTAGCTTCAAGCGGGCCGATAGCCCCTGGAGAATGTCATGAGATACTTGGTCCCTCAAGAGACCAAGTAGCTCTTCAGCTTCGCGCAGGACGGAGTGAACATCGTGTGTTGATACGCGTTGAAGGAGTGTGCGGTTGTATGTGTTTGTCACAAAATCTTCCTCCTGCGAAAGAGTAGGAAAATGAGTTATCCATATGCATGCGTGACGCGGAGCTTATGCGTACCTCGTAATAATGTTCCAGCTTTATGCGCTCATTCACATGGCTGCAGCCCTTGAGCATGCCAAGGCAGTATGCACGCAGAATCTGCAGCATGGGCTCGAGGCTGCTCTCAGAGCTGCTAGACCTCACGAAAAAGGCCTCGCCGACGTTGGCAGGGTCAGGCATGGATAGTGCCTCGACATAGACGCTGGTGAACAGCGTCTGCGACAATGGGTAACCAAGGTGCCATGAAATCTGTTGCTGTTAGCACCCAAGCGACATGGGCGGTTCTTTGAGGGCTCAGTAGCACATACTTCATGACAAATGAGCTCGTCTATTATGCCGAGGACCTCTTCCGGGAGCAGCTTTCGTGATACATCATATTCCTCTTCAAACTTTTCTCCCGGCGCAACGCAGCCACTGTCCATTTTAGGGTCCCCAATCTATCACGGCAATGTACGCGTCAGTACTCTTGAAGCATGTACGCTTGGGGAGAAGTAGGGTAGTAAAACATACCTCGAGAGCCGAAACTGACTCAAAGAGTGTAAAGAAGCCATCTTTTACTAGCTCACCCGGTTCCAAAGCTACTCATAGAGTCAGCATCACGACCATGCTGCAAACTGTGGACTGTCGCTTTATAGGCCTGTGCATACTCTTGACAGCGTCGGCAAACTTGATCGTTATGTCCACCGGAATCACTCCTGGGCTGTGAATAGCTGGCGGCGGGTACTGCTCCGGATCCTGGGCGAGAGACAGCCTGGCCATCTCTGCGCAACGCGCATGGCGGGTTAATCATGACGGTTAAGGTGGGGTGAGAAAACAGTCAGTCTTTGCTGGAGACGCTGCGTACCTTCCGGGCAGACCGCGTAGTCCGCCATTTTATTTACTATTATTGCTTGATGGCGAAATATTGAGCTAGCATCATCGATAAACCTGGCCGGCTGGCAGATAGCTGAAAAATGGCTTTGCGAAAAGACGGTATTGTTTTATGGAGGTTTGGTACTGATGGCGTGTCCGACTGTACCTTATTAGTGGGCATGCTTTGGCGGAGTGTTGAGGCCCGAGGGTCACGCACTGTACCTACGGCTCTACTTGAGTAATTTGGGACCAGAATATGGGTGCCTACGTGATTGAATACACGCAGCCTGGTAGTCTCGGGTTAGATATCAGCAAGATTCGGATAATAAGCAGCCACACGTCAATAAGTGCATTCACTACCGCGGCCGCCAAGCAAGCATTGCCGGTTCGGTCACGGGCTTACGGCTAGGTAGTTGCGGTGCATGGAACGAGATGACAATTAAAATGGCCGAGCAAAGCCAGATTTCAATTATCCGGCCCTGTCATTATTCGTATTGGCTTATTGTATCAATCGTATTGTATGGTACAGGGTGGTGGTGGTTGATTGTCCACCAAGTCTAAAGTACGTGGTGGTATTTCGCCGGCGTCTCCAATATGCCGTTCTCTAAGCCTCTCCTTGGCCCAAGTGGTTTGGACATTCATCGCACGGGTTGTCGACTGTCGCGTTCGTAATCAGAGGTGAAATATCGTTTACGAGGAAGAGCCGTGCTCGGCCATGGCAGCATTGTTGGCCTTGGCAAGGTCCTTGGGCTCGCCCATCTTGCCGTTCTGTTGCGGTATTAAGCATTAGCATCGGCCGTCGCCATCTCCCCCACCTCGGCTGGAAGAAAGAAAACCTACCTCCCACTTGGCAAACCGAAGCTCCATGTCGCCACGGCGCTCAGCAGCAACTCTCTTCTCCTCGTTGAGGCTGCGGCGGATGGTACGGGCGGCAATGGCCAGGTAGCGGTTGTAGCTGTTCGTCGAAAATTAGCTTCCCAGTTCATTCTCCTTTGTGCGCGCGGCAAAACATTGGTCGGTCGTCGGGGCGATATGCTGGTCGGAAAGGGTATAAAAATGCTCGGAGGGCAAACGTACGTCAAACCAGCGGCTTTCCACGCAGCAGTCATATCGGCGGTGTTAGTTGTGAGGAGAATTGATTTCGGGGATATGTGAGGTGCTTGGCTATACCAATTGAATATTTGCTGGAGATGAAGCCGTTTGGCGGAGCTGTCGCCTCAGGCATTAATTGGTCACGTGACATACTGGGTGACTTTGCCTGGAATTCCCGACCACGGCAAGGTGGGCCAATCCATCGCGATCTTACACCAGCACCACCAGTTTCTTCAGAAGATGAGCAAAGACATGAAATGAGATTTTGGGTGGGACATATCGACTGCCTTTAATTGATGCTCCATACGTACCGCGAACATTTGAATCTTGGCTCAGGCAGTCTTGTATTCATCGTTAACTAAGCAAGCAGACACTGTGGTATAATCGGAAAGATTTAAGAAAGTATAATACAAATAACAATTCATCATTGCAACAATGCTCAGGGACCACCACCGCCGCCACCGCCACTCATCGCCATTATTTGCTGGATGCGACGTCTATCAACCTCCTTCTTGAGCATCACAATGCAACTAGAAATAGCGAGAATCTCCATCTGCTCATGCTCGACCTTGCTATCCGCCCACTCCGTCAGATTCAACAGTAGACGGCCACCGTTACCGGCAGTGCATCCACGTGTGCCTTCTGTGCGCAGCTCGGGGTTGCGGACAAACATGCCGAGAATGGCGCGCCGCTCCTCCTGCTTGCCGATTGCCAGCGTCACGGTAGTGACGCGCTCAAAAAGCAGCAGGCTGTTGGCGCCGAGGGCCTTGCGGTCGGCGCGGCTGGCGTAGCGCCACTCAAAGGTGCCGAGGTGGGTGCGGATACTCTGGGCGCGGGTCGTGAGGCCCTTGGACTGGACTTCGTAGACCTCGTTGGGGTCGAGACGGCCATGCAGCTGCATCTGTGGGCTCTTGCCCGGGCCGAAGCGATAGGTGGTGCTGCAAACGGGTGCCTCAGAGACGCCATGGCCGGCGCGGACCAGCGCGCAGTTTCCGGAGCTGCGCTTGTTGCGGAGCGACTCGTAGACGACCTCGCCGACGGCGCCGTCGACCTCGACGCGGTAGACGGGGATGGGGACAGCCTTGGGTGGCAGCGGCAGGTAGAAGAGTGGGTGGCCGGCGGTTTCGATTTGAAAGGCACTGGTGTTGTGGAAAGACGTCACCGCAGAGGCGGCGTTGCAGGCGGAAGGCGATGTGTCGAGGGCGTCGTAGTCTGGTAGTGAGGACGACTCGGACTGCGATACTGCGGTGGAGAGAGATTGGAGCTTGGCGTAGTGGCCGAGGTCATACTCGGGGAGAGAAGGGGTGATTGACGTTTGCGAATATCGCCTGTGAATGGCAGACTCTGCCGGTTGTCTTTTGAGAAGAGTAGCCATGATGGCTTCGGGGTGTATCAACGACAGTGGTGATGTAGTGCTCTCGTCTGTTGAGTAATGTAGTCAAGTACGTAGAAGTGTTAAGGACAATAGTGAATATTTTCAGAATTGTCTGGCTGCTGCTTCAATTTTATTTGATGAAAAGGTCATTGAAATATTTCGACACCAAGAGACATGATGCTATATATACTTCTGGCCGCTTAATCCGGAGATGCTCACAGCAAGGCTCATTCCGTCGAGCGTCATCGTTCTACTTGGTAGAACTAGTGCAGAAGACCCTGGGGATTAAGTCCCCGACCAGACTAGCTATTTACGGGGGATACGGGGGATACGGGGGATACGGGGGAAACGGTCACGGCCCGGCAGCACACGATTGGCTCAAGTGTATGTTTAAGCGGATCCCCTCGCGAAATACGATGAATGCGCAGTGGGTCCTGCCTGGCTGCTGGACACAACGCTGGAGATAACGCTACTTGCGCTGCCAGCTGCCTCCCCGCGGGGCAGGTAATGTGATGCGCCCTCGCCCGCTCAGGTACTTTACCATCTCTTTTTTAGCGGTCGCCCTGCTGTGTGCACGGCGTGGCAGTGCTCAGCCTTGCCATGACAGCCAACAGCATTTCCGCGCCTCATCACTTCACATGGAGGCTGCGATTGCCGATCAGGACAGACACATCTACGAGTAGATAAAACATTTTACCGCATTTCGCGTATTTCTGACAGCCGCATGCTTGGCCACGCGATCGTCTCGCTTGGGCACACGCACGAGACAAGGCCCTAGGCCACAGATGGTGAAATGCCCTCGAACAGCATGTTATTTACTAATTTTTTTGAAGATCAATGTGCAACCGGACGCTATACATCATCAAGCTCTACGGCCGAAAAATGTCAGGTCCCGATCGAGCTGCTCCTCCACCCACAGCGGCCACTGGTTGTACACCTGATTCCCAATATCGACGCGCGCATTCAGATACTTGAGCCACCGCAGGAAGCCCGGATCCATCTTGCTCTCCTGCTGCGACGGGTACTTTTGGCGGATATTCCGCTCCTGCTCCGTGATAAAGCTCATGATTTGCGAGAGCGCGATCCAGTGCGTGTGCAGCAGCACAATGGTCTGGTTCTGCATGTTGATGAGCTCCTGGAACGTGTCATGCGGGAGGAGCATCCACCACCCGTACTGCTTTGAGTTTGTCTTGTATGCTGGTCAAAAGGGTTAGCAAACCGCAACATCAGTGGCAAGATGCAGAATGAGGGGCTAACCCACCCTCGAATGAATCCTCGTAGAGCTTTTCCGCAATGCCCAGCAGCTGCCCGCGGTACTCCTCCTCCAGCTGCGTCGCGCACAGCGGCTTCAGCGCCGTCAGCGCCTCGACCGCCATGTCCACCCACGCCTTTTCAATCAGCGGCAGGCCCTCCATCTGATCGGCCAAGAGGTCGTCTGGGTCATTGTCAAATAGCGTTGTAAAGACGGGCGCAATATTGCGAAACGTCATCTGCATGCCGACAATGACGATGCCCCGGATAAACGTCATGAACTCGGCCAGGCCGTCCTCGAGGCTGACTGACTGGAACGTGAGCGCAAAGCACGTTGCCACCAGCGCGTTGGACTCTTCGCGGTCCGTGTCGTTCTGCGACGACTCGGCCAGCCGCTTTTTTATGGCCTTGATGGCCTTGATGCGGTGGTTCATGGCGGCGGTCGCGAGCGTCGCATCCTGCTGGATGAGCTCCGAGGCGGCGAAGCCGAGAATGGCGTGCATCAGAAAGTCGTGGTTGTGCGCTATGCAGGGAATATCGTGTGTCCAGACTTCCTCCTGCTTCAGGGGTTGGTGCGGATAGCATTGCGTCAGGAAGTGCTGGAAGAAGCGCATGTCCTGCAAGCTAAACAACGGGATTTGTTGATGAGGCTATTCCTTGTCAGACTGGATATGCTTATGAGCCGTTACAACGAAACCTTACCTGATGGACTATCTGCGGCGCCGCAGGGTACTCGCACTTGAGGCCCGTCTTGACGCAGTGTCCGCACGCCGGATGCGTTTCTTGGCACTATTGACTCCTTTTAGCATCCAGATTCTATTTATGACCAGTACTTCCAGCTTACCTTGATGCGCCGCCTCTTGCAATTGTAGCAGCCGCGTCGACTCTTAGTGTGACCTCTCCTTTCCAAACGCTGCCTGGAGATGCCCGCATGACGGACGACCTCGCCGCTGGGCGGGCTCCTGCTCTCTGAGCTGGGCGGCGTCGCTTGACCGGGCGACTGGCCAGGCGCCGCTTGGTTCTGCAGCACCGTCAGGTCCTGAAACTGCATGGCGCCATCGCCGCCCAGGAACGCGCCGTAGTCGAATTGATTCGGGTCCGGGTACGGCAATATGCCGGACGAGAACTCGTTCATGTCCATGGTGAATGGTTATTTTTTTTCTCCTCGCGTCTTTCAGAGATTTTACCGCGTCAGCCTGGGAGCTGAATCTGGTGAAATGGATAGATCTGCAATTGTGAGTTGCTCGTCGAGAGCTGTCTGTTAAATTCAGAGACAGCAGACGGGGGCTACATCTGCGGGGTGGGCGAAGCTTTGTAGTTGAACTCGGAATAGCGGGCGGCGCCGACCAGCATTACACCACAAACAATTATTGAATCTAGAATGATGATTTGGTCGAGTTAGGATGACATTTCGCAAGGCTCAATCGAGGCGAGACGACTTGGATCATCACGTGTGCGACATGTACAGCAGGGTGGTCTCCATACCTGCATAAGCATGCGCCCAAAGATGAGCTGCAATAGATTACTGACGCCCGGAAACACTGTACATTTTTCGCCCCCGCCAGTAAGAAGCTTCGTTTAGTTCAGGATGATCCATGACGCAGCCCCAAAGGCGCTGACCTGACAGGGCTAAATCTCCACCAGGCGCGGTGCGGCTGAACTCGTCTCTGGCATGCTCTGCGGTCCGACCAACTAAAGATAATAAGCGTCACTGCCGTCGGCAAGAAAGAGCGCAGGCTTGATGCTTGATTGTCGGGGCTGCTGTCCGGCCGACATTGCGACCCCAGTATTTGATAGTCGGCCGTGATGGTGATGTCGTCGCTTTCGCGCATCTACGTACAATTTGTGCAAGAAGTTGACAAAGAGGTTTCCATGGTCATTCAGGCTGAAGCCACCGTACTCGCTACCAATTTTCAGCAGGAGCCCTAAGTTCAACGCATTGGTCGTTCCAGGCAGCAGCACTTGTCTACATCCAACTCAGACTACCCCGGATTTACGTCCCCATATACACGGCGGCCCAGTTTACTTCAACGGCAAACGCTCGCCAGTAGACCCAACGCGCCAGGATCTAGTCTAGCCAACTTGGCAATTCGGCAATGGCTGAGCGCGATTAATCGCTTGAGTAGCAAGCCGGTTGTTCAAGATTAAGGAGGAGGATTAGTCCACCGTTTTCGTTGAGTTTGTGTCGAATCTTCAATAGCGCTTCTGTTTGCGCGAGTGAATGCTGCTGTGTGTTTGGCGCATGCTTCCCTCTGTTAGTCAATCATAGCAAACTGAGTCGAAGCTGATATAGACTCGTGCTGCATAGGACAAATATTTTCTTCTGCATTGAATCAAAGTGAGTAATAACATATTCCACACACTCCAATCTAGCATGGCACCGACAAAGGCCCTGTCCAGCCTCGTCGCATCTAGTCTTCTTCGGTCGGTTCACTTTCGATAGCATTCTCCTTCAGCATGACGTGCTAAAATTTCTTCAGCGATCTCGAAGACGAAAAGTATTGTGATTTCGCGTTGATGTGCAAGGGGGCAACTATACGAGCTCACAAAGTCGTGATATGCCCACAGTCGTCGGTTCTGGCAGCCGCGTGCTCGCAGGGAAAGGTACGCGATACTTACTATGGGTCTGAACCTATATCTAGGCAGCTAACATCAAATCTAAACAGGATTTATACCTGCTTCCTTGGGCCAAAAAGCCCGCGATGGAGCGTTTGGTTGAATGCTTGTACACTGGGGAGTACAGCTACCCCGCCGCAACCGCACAGCACGAGCTTGAGACGGTCAGCAGCAATAGTCCGGGCATTGGCAATATAGAGAGAAGCTCCAATTCCTGGCCATCTCATGAGGAACTGGGCACACTCAACTTTGTTGCTCATCTCGACATTATCGATGTCGCCAAGGAGCTCTCCATCGACCATCTTGCCACCAAAGCAGTCGAGAATTTCCGGAAAGAGGCCATGGAAACTCCGGAGTCACTCACTTTTTTGAATGTCGTCCCATTCGTGTTTTCGATGGACTGTACAGGTATCTTGCTGCAGAACACGTGTATCGAAGCAACCCGAAGTTTGTTCGGTCCCGGATTGGCCGTTGGCGAAAAGAAACGGCAACTACTAGACAATGTATTTGAAAACGTCCCAGCCTTTTCCCAGAGACTTCTCAGTTCATGCCTCACCATTGCTGCCCCAAGCTCGAAGAAGGGCTGCTTTTCCGATTCGAATGAGGACGCTTCCTGAAGAGAAGTTGACGCTCCATGCAAAGCTGGCCCGGCTTGAGAGTAAGGCGGATCGCGGATTGGTGGCATGGTTTTCGAAGCCATGATCGTATTATGATGTCTTCTGATCTGCAGCACGTATTGAAACACTTCCGACCCTTGCTTGTTCTTGCAGATACGGATCTCTGCCTCCAGCTGCCTGCTGGTCAAACACGCCCCGTTTGCGATGACGATTCACGAATAATGGCAACATCATTACTGCCCGTCTTTCTTTGCTTCTGCACTCTCACCTTTTAAAAAGCACTACTTCTTCTATTTTCAATTACGCTTACTTTCAAATGGATGCTGCTGAGGTATCCTTCTCTGCGGATGACTTCTACCAAGTTCATCAAGAGAAACATTTACCTCAGCCTTTATTATTATCTGATGAGAGTGGCCTTTCGCATGAACTATATTTTTTCGAGTCCTGTTTATGATTTTTCATCGCAAGTATTTAGCCCACACGTAATAGTATTGCTGTTTTCTATTACTGCTACTGTAAGTTTGGCTATGAGTGCCAACAAGTCGTGGAGGTATGACCATGTAGAGCTGTGAGTACGTTGTAGCGGTGCTTCAAGCTAATCAACTGGCAGCTGATGAAAAAGTCAAGACTTCTCAAGTGGGAAGCTTCGGGCTTCATTTCCCATATGAACAAGGGTGACTGCCATCTACGGTACAAGTTCGTCTTTGCACCTTGATGTAATTGTGGCTGAGTTGGATTGATACAGAGCACCACAACGCGAAGTTGACCAACAAATCAGATGTATTTTCATCGAAATCTTGAATACAATTGCATTTTATGCTGCCATTTGGCCAATCAGGATACTTCAGCAGGCTATTCTTTTCGAGCACATTCGAGGGAAATTGGACCATGGCGATCAGTTACACTTGCTCGACCGGCAGCCATGTTTCCCAGCACAATCTGTGGTGAATGTTGCTCAATTATAGGATTGACTGGATTCTACCACGGCATAACTGCGGATCCTTTCGGCGTACAGGCGTGATTGTTGCATGCCGCAAGTTGCACAGCGTTTCATTTGCGTCTTGTACATGACGGCATCAGGCTGACGAAGCAGGTTACACGCCCCTCTGCCGCCGCACTGCGACTTTGAACCAGTGGCATAAGCTGCGAGCCCAGTCTCAGTCAGAATCTGTGAGGCTCAGCCATGCGACCGAATTCTGCTTCGTGCTGGACTGTGTAGGGTAGTGGCTGCTCTGCGACTGGCTCAACCTGTCATTCAGATGCGACAGTCCGCAGATGGACAGCTAGCGCGGTATTGCCTTGATTTTGTACGTAATTTAAACCATGGTTCTACATAGTTGCAACTGTCGAATAATGTCAAGCAGTAGTGATAGCTGCTTCTGCAATGTCAGCTGCGTGCAGCAGACTCGGCAGGTAAGCAAGGCAAAGGTTGTTCTAGAGCCACAGAACCACTGCGAGGTTGTCACAGGTAAGCCCGTAAGATGCAGGCGCAAGTAGTTGGAATCAAGTGCGCTGTTTCGTGTAATCCACGTGCTGTTTGTGTGTGCCGTTGTGCAAAATGTACCTGGCGATGCGCCAGGGCCGATTGCTTCGAGGCACGAACGCGCATTACACGGCGTGCACTGTGCCACTGCACATGAGAACGGGAACCATGATTCGAAAAATGAGACTCAACAGAAGATTGTTATTATTGATAAATAAATAACTATATCCGTCTTCCAAGAATGAGACTTGACATCCAGGTCTATTGTGGGAAAGGAACCTGCATTGCAAATGCGAAGAGGGTAGCTCAGCAACACCGCATGAAGATTTTACTGCTTACCAGCTCGTGTTCTCAAGATAATCACGTGCATGTGCTACCATTTCTCTATCGTGCCGCTTACACGGAAATCACGGGCATGCAGTGGTGCTGTCATCTGGTATGCTGCCGCAGAGCTAAAAGCGAAAGCGCACCCTCGGCGGGAACATGAGGCTTGCGTCACCCTGCAGCAAGGAATTTGCTGCGCCGAGTAACAAGGCCACGGCTCAAGAAAAGTCAACAACCAGCGAGGCAGTGTCATGGGCTCTCAATATGGAGCTGTGTCAGATCATCAAATGTTTTGCACTGGCAACGTCAGGGTTGATGTGCCGATACCCGTGACAGGCAACGGGGTTTGAAACCGACCAAGAGAAACGGCCAAGTCGGGCGCTAGGCAGCTCGACGGCAAGGATGGCAGTGTGATGTCTGGGTTTTGGTAGCTAATGAACAGGCACCACAGGCAATCAATCGGCACATGACTAGCGAGCTGTTTTTATTTATCAGGATGACATTTCGTACCCTTGCTAGCACTCGACGATGAGACAAGGCATTGTGATTCGTAAAGAGCTTCGGGCGAATCAGAGGGCGTAAATGACGATTATCTGTAATCTGTCATTTCGTTTGAGGGTGGGATGAGACTCGGCAAGAGTCAAAAGGGAGACGTTCTTTCGCGTGGAGGAAAAAAAGCTGTTAATGACTTGCTCTTTGTCGTGTTGTACTTCTGTATTGTCGTACCAGTAATTTAACAAGGGGGCGCCATGTTAGTCGATGGCTTGTTTCGGGTTGCAGGGGAAAATGGGGGTGTGTGGAGTTGTTTATACGGTTCATCGGGCATGTTTCAATACTTCAGGTACTTATTAGTCGAGATAAAGAAAAGACAAGTACGGATAGTACCAGTAGGAATATCAATTGCAGAATTACGTGGAGATCGTTTTCTGAGGGACCCGAGCCGATGATTGGAGCTTTAGAAGGAAATGGGAAAGCCAGACTACTGAGTGCCGGATTTTGACCATGCCGAGGGAAACACATGTGCATTTTCTGGCAAATCCAAAATCGAGGGGAAGTTGTGCGGGGAGGAAATGGCTAGCAACGTGAATAAACGGACCGACGGCCGCAGCGGAGTACCAGTATTGCCTTTGTCTTTTTTGCGCTGGCGCTACTTCGTACTTGCAAACTAGCGAGCGCCATGCAGAAAATGCACGACATCTGCATTGAACAGTAAACAGTCGCTAACTAGCAGTCGTAGCTCGGATGCAAGTGGCAGTTGAGAACCAGTCTACTGGTACTAAACACCGGTGCGGCGGTTACTCACCGGACTTGCCGGGCGAGGTTAGCTTGAGGGGAGACGGTGATGGTATCCGAGGCGCCGGCGCCATGGACATGAGAAGCTTCGCAGCTCACATATGCACCTGAAAGCGATTCGTGCGGCAACATGCAGGCTAGCATATCGGTGAGTAGATGAAGAGTCACTGGAGAATCGAGGTGGCTGGTAGTAAGCAACATGGCTCTTCCTCGTAGACGAGTGCTCCGTTCCTATGGGACATTCCCAAGGAATGCTGTTTTGGCTTGGCCAGGTAACACCCACACAAGTTAACGAGCCAAGGTGTAGTTAACCATGCCATTGGCGGCGCAGGCTACGTATGCCAATCGACGTAATTGAGGCTGAATTTGGGTTTCTTCCCCATGGACTGATCACCAAGTGTGGCTTGCAGCATTGACACCAAACGACAGAGAGACAAAATGACTACAACGAATAAGGCGAACGACTTACTGGACGAACTTACAGCAATTGCTTTTTCGACTAAATAATATTATGCAACGCCGTCTCTCGTAGCGTAAACGATTCGCCAAATGATGAGAGGACGGCCCGGACCCCGCAGAGGGCCACAAGGTTAAGGTTTCTCAAAACGAGCGCTGGACGAGGCCGATTTTTGCAACCTGCCTGTATTTAGAGGAAAGAATACGTAGTTCATCGAATTACCCCACGCATGCGAGAATACCCAGGTACGCTAAAATTGTTGACAAATCTAAATCGCTGTGGCGACAGTGAAGGCGCTCAATGGTTTAGCCAGAGTCGCATCGTCGTTACTGCAACTACAAGTTTATCCATTAGTTGTCGACGCAAACCCGCAAAGACACGTAAGTAAACGGGGGTCAACGCTTATTCGCTACCGTCCACAATGCGATGAAGCGGTTTTAAGCGTGCGGATCAAAGAGTCGAGAACGCGGGCTTGGCTGTCGTTGTCTTGGTATCGGAGCTGCGTGTGTTCGCAAAAATCGTTCTCCGCAGCGCTATTTGGAAACCACACAACAAAGAAAAAAGAGGCTCCAGCCAAGGAAGCAAAAACAGCAAAGGAGCCACTGTGAGCGACCAAGACGCCAAAACAAAGGCCCCCATTGTGGGTGCGATTCGGTCGGGGCCAAAAAGGATTCGTAGGCATGCGGGATGGAAATAGTTCTGGCTGAATTAATGCGAGGCTTGGATTCTAAAAGCTGCGCCGCGACTGGGGGGATCGCCTTGGTTCGGCGGTCAGGGGTACTTTTCTTCCAGCTACACCGAGTACGGTGGCAAGATGTTTACTGTTTTCTTCCTGTTCGTCTTGGGCTTATGCAGGATTGGTGATGCAGCGGAGAGATGCTGTTTGTGGAAAGACAACCGATGCGGTGACTGCAGGTTTATCTGCGTGAAAAGGGCAGGCAGATGGGCAGAGTGCATTTGCGTTGTTAGAACAACCACAGCAGTGAATAAATCAATAGAACAATGATTGCACAAATTTAGGGAAATATTTTCGAGCGCATGCCAAGCTGTGTCCTCGAGTGGATGCAAAGTGTTGGACGCGCCATTTTTGGCTTGAGTACGTGGTGTTTCCCCTGCAAGTTAGCTGATGCGTCAGCATCGGACAGGGAAGCAGACCGCAGCAGCGGATCAATAACAATGATAAGAGGCTAGCAAGATGAATATATAATAATGAAAACAATTTAATGATCTCTCCCTGGTTTATGTACGGTATTACCGACCTTTTCTCCCTGGTTCCTTGCCCTTGCGTTGCGCTCGTGTTTGCTGGTGCGGCGGAGGCCCCTGCAGTTTCATGCGCTACCTTGGTATCCCACTTTGCGGGCCCTGATTGGCTGGATCTGGACAAAGAGTACCAGGGCCACGTTGCCCTCCCCTGGTTAGGCCGATGTAGTCCACTGGGAAATGATTGGTTAAAGTTGGGGGCCAGGGCAGGGCGTTTCGCTGACTGCAAACGGGATGACAGACGGGTGTAAAATGGAATATTGCCGCAGAAGAGGAGTAGAAAAAAATGAAATCAGACTGCGGAGTCGGGAATTCTTTAGCACTCTGCATTTCACTGGCACATCTCGATATAATCAGTTCCTGGCTCGTGGTCTGGAGCTCGGTCTGTGGAGACGGTCAGTGAGGTACGCATCTGCAGGTGGCTGGGGAAGGGACGGCTTGGTTGGCTCGTTTGGCATGGTGCACGGTATTTACGCGAAAAGGACATAAAAACTATGAGGTTCGAGGAGACAGGAGGGTCGTCTGATCATGAATAGGTAGCATCAAGCAGCTCGTCGTAGCCCTACTATCTAGCTCGTGGATGGCAGGTGATGCCCTGCAAGGTGTGTACACCTAGCAGTGAGCAATTAACATACGTGTCAGGGGCCGGAAATCTTGTTCAACAAGCTCCCTGTGCTGTTGGACAACTGATAAAGGATTCGTTGTTCAAGCTCGGAGGGATGTGTTACCGAACTGAACCATATGCTTTGTCCCAGCCCACGGCACGCGCGATTTTAAAAAATAAAAAAAAAGGTGCATATCTGACAGATCTGCCAGTGCACGTCGATTACGTGGCAAGCCCATATTCGTTCTTGAGCTGCAGGGATTCTGACTACAGGGCCTGGTATTGCTGCGTACATACGAATAGATGACTGCTCTGTCACTCTGCAGCGAAAGGTCAGGCTGAAGTGTACAGAGTACAGCTGTCAAAGAGCACATGTTTCTGCTGAATTGGCTGGCTGAAAATCCCAAAATGACTGATACGACGCAGTTGTCCGTTATTCCGGCCCGACAGACGGAAAAAGCACACAGTGGCATGACTGCATCTCCAACCTAATTTCATTCAGCGAGTAGAGTGAGCCGAAACAGGCTACTCTCAGGGCCGGCCCATGACCGTCGACCGTAGCGCTGCGAACCACCACGACTGTGCTATTGTCCATTGAGTGCTGAATACGGGAGGGAGATGCCCTGTGCACCAGCTGGTCTGGCCAGGTCAGTGTTCAGTAGTGACAGAGGCAACGAGGTCAGCAATCCAAGGCACCACAAATCTTGCCAGGCCCTAGATGGACCGTAATAGAGCACAAAGGTCCCAGCATCAGGCACCACAAATCTGCCAGGCACACCGCAGGCCCCACTGGGTCTGACGGCCCAGTTGCCAAATTGGCGCCCACCTCTCCATCTGGCGCTAGCCGTTGCATCCTTGGACGGTACCTTGCGTGCCACGCGTGCTTGCTGCTTCTGCTCGGTACCTGACCAGCGCCGCACCGCACCGCTTGGATGGGAGCCCCTGCATCTTTTGCTTTAGCGGCCCCCATCTGCCCCTGGCGCCCCGCCCCGCACACCCATCCTTTCCTTCGTCTTCCTTCCGACCACAAGCATCCACATACAGTCAAAGCCGAGAATGCAACTCCTTCAACTCCTCAGCAACTTGGCCAACTGCACGCTCGTCCGTCTCACTCGTACGTCTGGACTCCCCAGCGACCCCGCCCCGCCTTCCAGAGCCCTCCTTGGCGCGGATTCTTCAGGAAATGGCACGTACCTAGTACCCGCTGAGGATACCTGAGAGAGCACCGCTATTTACTGCGAGAATGGCAAAGAACGGGTACCAAACCCCTGCTGGCCGGCCTGCTCCTGCCTGGGCGCCAAACGGAACACTGCATGGTACCTGCATGCCACGCCGCAAACACACTCTAAACAAGGTATCACCCATCGCCCGTTTGCCTCCTGCCACTCCTGCCAGCTGCCAACCATTATTATGCATTGATGCCGCCGCCCAGACCCAGCCTGCCGCTCCCTCCTCCCAGTCCTCCTAGCGTCTCTCTGGTCAACGCCCTCTTTCAAATTCCTATTCATCCCTCCGCTTCTTTAACCCTCCCTTCTCCCACATCTCTACCCTTCACAATCTTTTTACCTCGTCTGTCCTTTCTTCACACGTCGTCAAGCTAGCTTCGACTCTGCTACCACAGCTTCTTTTCGCTGTTCACCTTCCTTCCTTTGATACACAAGTCAGTCTTTGATAGACTCACTTCTCACTACCACTCCTTATACCGGCCGCGCCGAATCACTTTCGAATCACGTTTCATTTTCTTGTCGTAAATACGCAAGCAAACCCTCGCAATCCAACGTCTCGAAACATTCAACCACCTTCCTTCACCTCGAACCTCGAAAAGAAGCCTCCTGCGCCTATCTATCTCATCACTCGTCGACTTAGACCATCAACTCCCACCATGTTCTCCAAGACCGCCATCGCCCTACCTCTGGCCGCCTCGCTCCTTGAGCAGGTCAGCGCCTTTAGCTTCCACCGTCACCAGCACGCCGCCCAGAAGCGCGAAGTCGTCTGGCACACTAAATTTGAATTCCAGACCGTCTACGTCACTGCTGGCGCCGACGCGCCCGCCCAGACCGCGAACGCCTTTGTTCAGGACAGCCAGCCCGAGGCTGTCGCCGTCACCCCTAGCGTGCCTACTGCGGCCCCCGAGCCCCCCGCGGCCCCGGCTCAGACGACTCTGTCCACCGCTGTCAAGCCTTCTTCGACTTCGACCGCTTCTAGCGGCGGTCTAGGCGTCTCTAAGCAAGGCATCGCCTACAATGAGGCCTCCCTGGCCAACACCTTCAAGAACAACTGCAACAAGAAGGGCTGCGGCTGGGCCTACAACTGGGGCTCCAACCCTGGCGACCTCAGCAAGGATGTCGAGTATGTCCCTATGCTCTGGGGTGACTTGCCTATTCACACTTCCCACTGGGACGCCGACGCCGAGGCTGCTCTTTCCAATGGTGCCAAGGCTCTCTTGAGCTTCAACGAACCCGACATGCCTTCCCAGGCCAACATGGACGCCGCCACCGCCGCCGCTGCTCACGCGAAGTATTTTGCCAAGTACAAGGGCCGCGCTCAGATCGGTGCCCCCGCCGTCTCCAACTCCAACTTGGATAACCAGGGTCTTCCGTGGCTCAAGAACTTCGTCGCTGCCTGTAACGCCAACTCTGACTGCCACTTTGACTTCTGCCCTGTTCACTGGTACTCCCCCGCTGAAGCTGTTGACACCCTCTTCACCCACCTCGCGGAGGCCAGCAAGATTTGCGGAAACAAGCCTGTCTGGCTCACCGAGTTCGCTCCCACTGGCAGCGACGAGCAGATCGCCGCGTTCCTCAAGACTGTCCAGCCCAAACTTGACTCTCTCGAGTACGTCCACGCCTACTCCTACTTCTTTGTTGCCCAGAACTTCCTGATGAGCTCCGCCAACACCCTGAGCTCCATCGGCAACGCCTATGCTGCCATGGCCAACTAAGCATGTATTCCTCAATCAACCTCGCGATGATCAACCCCTACAGATTCACTCAACGCAAATACCGAGTCACGCCTCGCTATTTGATTGTTCCTTCTTTGATATATCTGCTTCACTTCTTGCACACTCGTTAGGGATATACCCACACTTTTTTTTTCTTCGTTTTCTCTTTTTCAATATCTCGATGTCACGGTTACGGAATTATTGTTATGTTGGTAGAGACTGGTTATATTTGGACCAAACGATTTCTTTTTATTTCATGGGCGCACAAAACCACATTGCACAGAGACTTGTTCTACCCTTCTCGTATATATTCTCTAACTTTTGTTTTTCACCCTGGATCTCCTTGCCGAGTTGAAGTACCTCGAGAAAGCCGTAACGTATAACCTCGATCACGAGCAAGCATGCATGAGCAATCCATTTCTAGCTACAATGTAGATTGTTGACAAATGTCTCGTTTTCTTGGATTAACGGTGACTATGCCGCGGAGTGGCACCTCTGTTGAGTGTGATAATTGCCTAGAAGCCAGTTGCAAAAACTTTATTGCTACATACCTTGGTGATATCGCGCCGGCGCATCAGTGTCCCGACGTGATGTACATGTAGCTCAATGTGCGAAAGAGCTTGCAATTTTTCATGATTATTTCTCATCCCTTTTCATCTCTGCTCTCTGATTTTCCGGTGGTTTTTCTTTCCATCGTCTGCTTTTCTTTTTTCTTTCCTTCTTTTCGCTACCTTTTTAGCCCAAGAGAAAATCAAGAAGAGCACGTACTGTTGCCGGCCAAGACTCTCGCCATGGAGGCTTGTGCACATGAACAACATTCGGCAACATCTGCTCCTCACCAAGCGGAAGCGGTTCGAAACCCACGCACAAATGAACATAATCTGCGAATGATTCTCAGGCCAATACCAGGAGATAGAGGTGTATTACAAGATGTCTTTGCAAATTAGACACACACCCAACGACGAGGTAACCAGACACAGACACAAGAGCCGCCCCTTTTCCTTTCTTCTTTAGATCTCTCTCCCCAAGACCCTTCCGAATCACGACGATGACCGCCCGCGGAGGGAATAAGCCGTCCACGGCACGATATCTTTGATGCCCCGTTCCGCATCATCCAAGGTCGCTGCTGCGGTGGTTGCCACTTCGATGTCGGCGTACGCGCTACCCAGCGGCTGATTAGACGGCGGCGGTTGCAAGGATCCAATGGCTGTGACATCGCGCTCTATTGTCGTCGTCACGAGCACGACTGAGCGCTTCTTCTCCGCTGCCAGCATTTTGGCCGCCGTCATGCTCAAGGAATCGCACGACTCGGCATCGTACTCGACGCCTTCGGAGCAGCAGTGCGTCGTGGTCTTGAGCGGGAACTCGACTGGCGTCGGTGGCGAAGTGCTCGCCGCGCCGAGAAGATATGGCGAAAAGTTGTGGCAGGCGCGATTCTGGTCGCGAAGCGCCACGGCAGGCCTTCCATGAAAGCCGTCATTCCCATGGCCATGACAGACGCCCAGAGAGCTGCTGATGGATGTGCCGGCGTTGTCATTCGATGTCACCCATTGTATGACAATAGCAGAGAATAAGACTGCCGCCGTCAGTAGCTAATAAGACAATAACCGACCAATTGAGTACGTACTGTCGCAGTTACAGCACATGAGGCATATCCAGGCCGGCTCTCCCCTGAGCGCCATCAATACAGATAGGTTGCTTAGTCTTGTCAATTTTTGAATTTTCCTGGGCTTGGCAATGACATACACAATGCTGCTGACCAGCGTGCAGCACGAGCCTACAAATGTCCGAAAGGTGACCGCTCGAAGTCTCGCATTGGCACTGGTCTGTGGCATGCTTTTATACGAGTGCAAGTCTGTACTCTCAATTTTAGTTCTTGCTTTAACAAAGCGATTTGTTTGCGGAGGCTTACTCATCAATGGACGTAGAAAGAGTATTGTAAGATATACATTGACGACGGCGTCAAATGATATCAGTGGGATCATGGAGATTTCCTGCATGCCGATGATGCACTGTCCGTTCTCCATTCGAGCAATCCGACTGCGATTGTTAGCCTTTAGCCGATAGGTTCGACCAGTGAAAACATACAAGATGAAATTGAGAATGACGACCACGACGTACACTCCCAACATACCAAACGAGTTGAAGATGTATAGCTTCGACCGCAAGCGTCGCTTCACAGCTCCTCGAACAACGTACTATCAGAATTAAGCCAAGTGCCATTTTGGAATTTACAATTTACTTACTGCTTTCTCAACGAGAAATAGATAGATAAACTGCCAATGTCAGAACAGCACGTGGCCAAGTCTTTGAGGACTACTCACAATCTAAAAACTCAGTCAGCTCAAATCATCAGCTTTGAAAATTGTGTAGCGTACTTTTGTCGTCACGTAGCAAACCAGACATAGCAGAATTGCGCCGCGACAAATAATGACGTTGCGGTTTACTCCAAAGGCGTGTTGGAGCATAGCCGTCGCAAACACGAAGCAATAGGAGTCTATGTATATGGCAAATACGACTGTGAACAGCCGATACAAGTGTCAGTAAGTGTTATCGTGAAAAGATTCTTCAAGAGCTTGGTTTCAAGGCATGCGAAACATACGCCACGCGACAAAGGGTAGTCGTCGCCAGACCTTGATGACAAGTAAACGCTGCGCTAGTTGCAAAGCACAATTAGCCCTGACAGCAGACATTGCGCGACATTGTGACAAATTATGTCAGATTGGTAGCGATTATACGTACTCATAAAATGCGTCAGCACATTCGTGGCCGCCAGGGATAGAATAACGTTGATCACCTGGCCAGCCAAGGGCACTGGCATCGGTCCATCCGACGCCGAGGTCATGGCCTGGTTTAGAATGTGTCGTAAACGCTGTACCAAAACAAGACATCAGGCTTTAGGTATTGTTGCTCGTCACCGGAGAAACGATGCAAAAAAACAAGGCGGCCTTCCACAAGAGAGTGTAGGATGCTTGAGGTGGCGTTGTCGTCTAGAACGGCCCGTTGGTCCTTTGAGCAATTCGTGGTGTTCTATGAGTAAGAGGATCCAGGGCGAAAGAAGAAGAAAGAAGAAGAGTGGCCGAATGGTCGACAAAGAATCAGAAATAGAAAAAAAGAAGGGAGTATTCGAAAGCGGAGGACGGTTTCTCTGCAGGTGACTCAAACGGCTGCGTTGCTCGGCGGCCCCAGGGCGTACCTTCTGCGTGGGAGACTACTTTCCAGTGTCGCAAATGCCAGGCTCTAATATATCATTCTTCTTTCTGCCGGTAGTTATAGTATAATAAACAGCTTCAAAGCGGATTTTCCGTCACAGGGCGCAATATGTCAGGCATCATTTGTTATCTTCACTCTAGGTACCACAAAGGCTTCATCTTCGACAAGTCGCTGAAGAAACAGAGAGGCAGCAATGGACAGTCCCAAAGTCGCCCCTAGACAAAGAGGACTTCTCGGAGTCGACATGGACCACGGAAAAGGGTCGTTACTTTTTCACATGAAGCCCCTGTAAACGACCAAAGATAAAAACTTCACGGTTACGCAGACTATTGCCTGTTGTACAACCAACGGCTTCAGTCCGCCCCGACTTTCCCGTTCCCTGCACCAAGCCTCATCCACCTAAGGAGCGCAAAGACGAGAGTCACATGAACAATAGGCAAATTCACGCCGTCAGGCGAGCTCAGTTGGCTTGGCCTTGGGGGGGGGGGGGGGGGGCTGACCAGGGCGGTGCTGTTGTCCGAGGGGTGAACAAGCGAGATTGTGGCTGGATTATACGGCGCGGAACAGGAACCCGACTGATTGGGTGTGGCAGGTGACGCCACGGCTGAGAGCGACGCGAGAGCATTCGTATTACAGCCTGTCTACTCCGTAGAGAGTGACAAAAGAAGCCATATCCGAGAAATTGGATTTTTGCATTGCATCGCCATCGCCCGACATAGTTCACGGTAGGGTGAGCACAATCAGAGATAGAGCTAGTAAGGCGATAAATATAACATTCGAATTCGCGCAAAACTTAACCTTGTAAGCAACCCCGCGCCTTCTTTCCATTTGTATCAAGGCCAAAACAAGAAAGATTTTGAGAGACAACAGCTAGCCCGACGCCCTACGTAATGTGTATCATAGCAATATACTCCGAGACTCCAACCTGTCCTAATCGAGAGACATTATAGAGCATATATATATATATATATATTTCCTGATTTTAGTGTTTGTGATTGTTAAATTTTGCACAACGACTGTTCACAACAGCCAATGCCTTGGCCATCGAGGCCAAATCATTGGTGGCGTCAACGTTCATGTCTGAGCCCTGGTCCGGATGCGGAACTTGTCGCGCAACTTGCCAGCCAAGCGGGCGGCGCGTCCGTGGTCTTCGCCTTCGGCCGCTTCACGAGATTCTGATGCCTCGCCACGTGGCTCTTCGGTCTGACCTCGCATTTCACGAAGCGCTGCTATGCGCTCCTGCTGGGACAGGTGCCGCAGCCGGCTCAAGTCGAGTAGACCGGGTGACCTGTGGCGAGACGATGCCGTCGAGTCATTCTCCTCGGCCTCTAAAGCCAGAGGCGGTGGCAATTCAAACGTTGCACCTGTCGCCCAGTTTGCGGTATGTCGGCCCGGCTGAAGGTCGTAGCGGCTGAGTTTCAACATTAGTATTGCTTGATAAGAGATGGGCACGAGTGCAAGACATACCATAGAGGGCAGGTGCCAGATACATTGACCAGCCATGGGTCAACACAGCCTGGGTGGAACTGGTGGTTACAAGGCAGGACTCGCACATCCTCGCCGACGGTAAAGTCTTCGGTGCAAATAGAGCAGCCGAGATGCTCGCCATCATGCTCAGAGCCGCCCAGCGCACTAGCAGACTCGACCGCGGCAGTCTCCGCGGTGGGTGTCTCGCCAACGCCATAATGAGCAGCAACGCCTGTTTCCGTCGCTTTTCGCTTCTCTTGATTCTCCTTGGACGTCTCCTTGTTGGTGGTGGACTCTGCTCCGCTCCCAAGTCCTCCCGCAGCAACGGCAGTCACTCCATGCCCACCATTCGCTGTCGATGTAGGCTCCAGCTCCAGCTCTGGATCTGGTTTTGTCTGCTCATCGTTGCCGAATTTGACAATGGGAAGCGTGTCCAGCACAGCACGAGCAATACCTTTAGCACGACTCTGCCTGGGCCGACGACCGAAGCCGCTGTGGGGGCCATAGCGCTCGGGATGGCGATGCGCACGCACGGTACCGGTGATAATGATGGCGAGAAATAGCAGCGTAATTAGGCCGGTGATGCTGTAAAGCACACTCATGGCGACAGTCGAGTGGCCGCGGTCGTCGCCGGTGGAATCGGTAGCGGTGGCGTTGCCCCTGATATTTACTAGCAACGTCTCGTTGCTCGGTCTTGCTTTGATATGTGTGAGGACGTCTGCAGCGTCACCTTTATCGGCCATGGTGACAATACTGGCATACGAAGGCCCGTTGTTTCTGTCAAACGAGCACCAGTTCGTATTGGCCGAGTACAAGATGATGGCGGAGAGATTTGAGCCCATCAGCTGGTTGAGCATCTTGTTTGGGCTTATGTTAAAGTTGTCTTGCTTGTCGGCGTCATCGCAGCACAAGTAAGCGATATGGCCGATACCGGAAAGTTTATAGTAGTTGTTCTGGTCGGCGAACGTAATGTCGCCTTGGATGTTCATCGTCTGCAAACCAGTGTTAGCTAATCTGCTGCTCCAAGCCGCTCAGAGTTTGACACCTACTCGACCAGTATTGAGTGATTCGTTCATGCCCATGTTACTCGTCAGCGGCAGTACCGGATATTGCAGCCCCGGGGTAGCCGAGTTGACGAGCGTCAGGGAAAGGCTCTCGCTTGCGAGCCAGTCGGGCGTGTCGGTCTGCGGCGACGTCGTTGAGATGTCATCCGAGGCTGCCGCTGCCGAATATACCATGCTGCGAGCGAGCGCCATGAGCGCCGTCGTCCGGGCGAGCCGCATCATCATGGTTTCCGCCGGTCGCTGAGTTCGTCGTGTCGATGGCGGGATAGCAGCTACGCAGCAGACAGCGACGAGGTCCGATAAACTCGGTTTATGGATTGCGAAAGAGCCCGGGAAATCATCTGCTCAGGGAGGCGGGCGAGGCATTTGGGCGCTCCTGGATACTTTTGACGGGCGTGCAAACCAGTCCGCTAGAGTGACGCAAACGACTTGGTTGATAATACGGAAGCTGCCGATGCGGCGTGGAAGCGCTTTGTGGTAGAGTTTGTTCGCATGAGGAGCGCTAGTCCGAGGAGGCGAGGAAGGGAAAAGAGCAAACCAGGGCCGGTTGGAGAGAGAGGAGAGAGAGAGAGAGAGATGACGGGGCCAAAAGTCTAAATGCAGCCCAGACGTTGGATGGCTTTGCTTGGTACCTATGATATGGGCGGGCGGTGGTTGGTGGAGCGGAGAGACAAGGCGGCATGGCGAGCGGTAGAGATGGCAATGACCAGTTCTAAAGTACCAGATGCGGGCACGCGCAGGTACTCGTCACTCTAGATGCAAGCTTCAAAATCATCTCCTGTTGGCGACTTACACGTTGGGAGCTTGTATTTACGGCCACCTAGAGACTATTGTAATAACGTAGTCTATTGAGTTGTTTTGACTTCTTTTTACAGAAACAATCATCAACAGCACCTCGGAAAATGCACTCGGCTTGCCAAGACGGTACATGAGAGATACATTCTTCAGTACCTAACCGCACCAACGCACTAAATAAATACCTACTCTACCCCAGTTGCCAAGTACCTGCTCCAGCGAGCAGCCGCTAGAGAATGGCCGCTGCGCCACCCAAAAGCCCGCTGGAACTGGGTTCCCCGTAACTGTTTAACATCGCGGCGCCACGCACCTTAAGCGCCTTCTCAAGTCCCCACGGTCCCCTACTAACTACAGCACCTGGCTTGCTTGATGAAGAGCATTTAGGCCGCGCGATACCACGCTGGTATCCGGAGCTGAGAATACCCGAAGCCAGCGTTCACGGCTAAACCGAAACAAAAAAGTCAGAATAAACCGTGCGGTAATTCGGGGGTAAATACCCCATTACTCTCCTCTATCGCTGTTGCCATGAAGTTGCAAACACCATCATTCACGAGCCAAGCTTCGCCCAGGCCGCCACTATTCTGCCACCAACTCAGCAGCTGCAAGTCTAGACTCTTTTGCCAACATGACGCCTTATCTTCTACTTTGCCCCTCCCTCACTCTTTATCTGACAAATACATCAGGGGAGAAAACTTGCCCGCGCCTGTTTTGAAGCCTCCTCCCGGGAACGTGGTTGACCCCTTGCAACGCAGGCCGCAAACCGCTGCCGCAGACGGTTGCCGCATACTGTCAATGCAAGACGGTTCACACCAACAATACTCGTTTCAGGAGCTGCATCGTCGCTGGGCGTCTCCTCGAGACCACTGGTATAATAAGGCCGTTTGTACTCTGCAGGCCTCCAGGAATCACCAGCAAGTGCATTGGTAACTGTTTACAACCTTTTGCCCTCAGTCAGCCATAGTCCTACCAATGGCTGTCCAGACGACAAAGCATAACGAGGCAGTGCTCAGATAAAAGACACTCATGACGTGACGTCGTAGACGGTATTGTACTATGTATGCAGCAACCTGTTTCTCATCGGTCCACCGATGGCACTCAAATCTCTTCCATGTCCTCCAAGTCATCCATGGCCGGGAACTCGCCCACCTCGATCCGTTCTGGCCGAACAAAGACGCCATGCTTCATCGCCGACTCCTCACCCCAGTACCGCTTCCCAGCGATGCTTCCGTCATTTTTGCCAACGGGCTCGTCCAGATGCACTCCGATCCAGGGCCCCGCGCCATTGGGAATCTCGGCAACTTCGCCCACGTACTTGACCACGCCCCGGCGCGTGTCTTCGCCGCCAACACGGCACCGCTTTCCCACCGTGATACCGCGCTGCTCAATATCTTGTTCGAAGCCAGACACACGCATCTGCTCCTGGTTTGGCGCATTGGGGTCGAAGCGGCCGAGCTTCTGGGCCTTTTTCCATGCCAGCACCGAGTCCGTCTTCTTTTCGTACTCCCCCTCGGGCATCACATATTTCTCCACTCCCGAGGTGTCGTTGAAGTTGACGCGCATACCCGCCGGACGGGTATCAGATACCTGTTGCGGCTGTTAGCACACCATTCTGCCCAGTTTTGTGGAATGACGTTAGACATGGCCAGCTCTTTCTGTACCATGACGGGCATAGCAGTTGTAAAAGAAACCATCAGCGCCATCATGATTGCTGCCACAACTTGTGCAAATGCACATCGACTTTCATTGCCCTATGTATGACACCTTGTATATATACGCAAGTAGACGGAGAACTTGGCACACCATCTGGCCAGTCCTGCACGCCAATCTCACGCAACATTGATATTCCTCACTCATGCCAACCAGACTTGTGCAGAAAGCAGCAGAAACTGCAAAACGGTGCAGGCAAACTTACATGTATCTCGCCATACGCGGTCAGCGCAAAGCTGCTCAAGGGTGTATTCTCCTCATCGGCCGCCTCGAGGGCAATGCTCTCCGCGCCCTTGCAGCTCTTGAGGCTGAGACGCTGGCTCGAGGGCGGGATTCCGGTGATGGGCTCGAGCTTTGTCTTGAACGTGTCGATGCTCCACGAAGGGGTAATACGACGTTCAGACGAGGCATTCTCCGAGATAACGAACATGGGTACGTCGGCCATGGTTTCACTTTTTGCCAGGATCACCACGGTTGACTCTCTTTTTCTTTATCTTTCCCGCGTATTGGTACCAGGAAATTGGTCAAATGCAAGAAAGCAGCAGCGGTCCCCGAGACACGAGAAAAAAAAAAGCAAACAGTGCTAGGTTGTAAAAACGTCTGCCTCTACTTGCTGGCGGAGTAACGCGTTCCGTCTGTTCTAGGAAATCACCGAAAAAAAAGAAAAGACAAAGATGTTAGCATTTGCGATTCCATAATTCGGGCAATGATAGCAGATGACGCATATTAAGACGAGGAACAGCGAGCGCGGTAATGTTTTGCTCCCTCCTTGGAGGCGAAGGAACTGCTCGGAAAAGTTCCCGCTGTTTGAGACTGGCGGAAAGAAACTAAATGTTCGTCCCTATTGTTTAGATGAAACGTTTGCTTCTTTAAATGTCTTTTCTTTTCCCCAGTGAATTATCTGCGGTCCCAAATCTTTTTGCAACGCTCTGTCCATGTCTTGTGTCGCGAAGAGGGGGGGGGGGCGTCGTTCTTCCCCCCGGAATTCTGCCTGGCATGCCCAGCATTTTGCAGGGGGAGGGGGTGAGGGGTCTTACAGAATAATAAAAGAGAAACGCTCAAGCCCCCTTGGGAGAAAAGGCCCTTTTCCCAACGATCCTGGCAGAGATATCCGAAACGAGCAGAAAATTTTCAGACAAGAAAAAGAAAGTAAGATCACAGCCCGTCCCGGGGAGTTGGTTGCGAGGTTGTTTAACCTTTTTGGCGCAAAGCCCGCAATGGTTCCCGATTGGAGGACGACGTGGGGTTTCTTCACGGAACTTCGCCAAGGTTGCAAATGGCTTGTGCTTTGCCGGCGCTGAATGTGACGGTCTCTCTTGATGCAGTATGCGTCTTGCAATCTTGAGATGTTGGGGCTCGGAAATCAGGGGCGTACAATGCCAGAAGGACGAGGTGGTTCATCAGGCTCCAGAGCTTTTGGTGTTTCGAGGTGGGGAAGCTCCTAGCCACACCGCACCACCAGCCACACACATGTGGCGATGCTCTGTTGTTCTCGGGTAGCTGCCCGATCGCTTTCTGGGCCTGGGATTCGGACGGGCGAGATCTTCCTCTTGAAAATAAAGGGCACATAATTCCCCGTCTACGATGGTGTGCAACTGTGCGTGAATGTATGTAACCCGCGATCGAACTATCTTGTGTTTTGCGAAACGGCCATCTCTTTGTCAAACTATGCGTGCGACTGTACGCAGCAATGTCGTAAACATCGGTTGGCTGGGCGAAAGAGATAGCACAAAGAGCCAATGAACGTACATCATGAGTTTGAAGCCTATACTACCCCAACTATTATTTGGTGATACTGGTAATAATACCTGTAGCCGGGTACAAAGCGGGCATATACAGACAATTACACGTTGCAGGCTGCTACGCCCCAGAATGCTTCGCAATTGCACCACTCTAAGACTTCGCGATGCAATCGAGGTTGTAATGATAACCCCACTGACAAATACCGACATGACACGGCTATGAAGCGGTAACACATCCTTGGCTTCATCTACAAAAGAAAGTATGCACCCCGCTTACACGCATCTCATGGACGGGGAGAAAAGAGACATCACCCCAATTGGCCCCTTCGGTCCTCCCACATAGCGTTTCACAACAGTCGATGCTGCAGGCAGACTGTCTGCATGCCGCACATACCTGTGCACTCACAGGTACGCACGAGCACCAATCAGATCCCCATTTCAGCAACGCAAGTCCATGGTATCTTTTTTGTAAATGCGCTTTGCCTCCACACTGCGAGGCAGGCTCGTATCGTGCAATATCACATGGGGGAGATCCTGCACACGAGTTGCACAAGATGACGCTCCACGGGACGGGACGACAAAGAAAAGAAAGCTTCAACAACGCCCGACGGGATCAGTATCGGGCATGTGCACCGCCGACCGTTCACGGGCCACGGAACAGTTGCACGAATCTACTGCATCCTGAATAGATCGAAAACAATCTTGTGCACCACAATGTAGCGTTGCCTTCTTCAGGGCCATCAATACCAAGAGAAACCCACATGATGAAGCGGTAAAGGTTCATCGATGCTCCGCTTGGCAGGGCTGCGAGCTGTCGCGAGTACAAATGCCCAACGGTTATTCGTAGCGCAGAGTAACCCCATCCGAGTAGGTATATATATCAGGACTTGTCCAAGGCTCAAGATCGGCAGACAACTCAGGGCAGCATACATACTTCGTAGCTCATCTGGTTCTGGAATACGCCTCCTCTGACGTGGGGTAGGTAAGGGGGGCAGGCGCAGAGGTACACATCATCACTCAGCTGGTCAGGGCACCTCATTGCTTGTCCATTTCAAAGTGCATGAACCGCTGCAGCTACGTAAGGTACTGCCGTTTTTGATTGGGTCGCTAGCTCACTGACCGAATGTTCTGCAGCAGCAGGTAGCAAGCCTCTGAGCTGTCCCCAATGATGCGCAGTGGGTTGCATACATGGAGCCAACCTGGCAGCCCTCACATTGATGGCGCTTCAAGCGGTAGACACAATGCACCCTTCTGCAATGGAGCAGCCTGACGAAGGTGAATCGAGGAAACTAGCGGTCAGGACTTTGAGATGCAATAATTGACCGCAAACACAGCCCAGTCCAGCCCAAGGCAGAGCGTGCATCGCCAGGATTGACCCAGATGCTGTTCTCTTGCCCAACCTGCTCCTGTGTATTGAAATGCCAACGCACGCGGCTGAGCCTATGGGTCCAGTGGCTTTCACAGAAGGCGGTGGCGGCCCGACTGTCGATGAACATGTACACACACACAGACACCAACCAGAATCTGTGGACATCACGGGACGAAGAGCCCGTGCTCTTTTCACCCACTTCATTTGGAACACCATGTTTGCATGTTCACCCGGTGACCCGGTTCATGGTGTACCAGAGAGACGGTATTGGGGCGTGGCAAGCGTGGCACACCTGTGCGGGCGTTTGGTTCAAAAGCAAAGAGAGAACATACATGAGTACATACTGATGCCTGTTTTTGCTGCTCTTGGCGGCGGTCAGGTCATGTCGCGGAGCGGGATCCGGCACGGGCATTATGCTTGCTTTTGTTATGATGCTTGCTTTACTCTCAGCCACCGTTTCCTGCATCCTGGCAGACGGGAACGAGTAAGTGAGGCGTCCTGGGTTGGGCGACAATTCGGCCAGGTGGGTGTCGTCGTGTCGAGCATATTTTAATGGGCTGAATGGTGATATTCGCAGCCTCTCTTGTAGCGCGCGCCCATTTCCCAGGAGCAGAGGGCAGCAATCCATGCAGCAGACGCCACCGATCCACCACACCATGCTGAGCATCGTCGCGATTTGCAGATTATCCTCCCCCGACATGTCAGCCACAGGTAGTTTCCGCGGTGCGCCGCCAGTGAAGAAGTAGCAGTACATTGATGGAGGAAGTAACACACATGACAAGGATGAAGAGTAGAAACAGCACAGTATGATTGCTGCTCATGAGCTCGCTTGCGAGTGAGACACAGCTACATTGGCGGTGTCGGCGCAGCTAAGTTATCCGGCTAATCGAAGAGCAATCGACTAAACAATCGGTGTAAAAAAGAGTTCGTACCAATTGGATTGGCAGCCCAACGTACTGGTGTGTAAAAATGGTTGACAGCGGTGGCGTCATGTTGCTGCCCAATGGAATATCAGTAAGCGACGGAATGTGGCGGGCCTCGTAATAGCACTCAAAGAGATAGTACGGGCTGCCCAACATTCTCGGAGAGGCGATTTTGCTGAGCTAAACCACGAAAGTATGTGATGCTGACTTCACAGCAAGGGACCTTTTCGAAACAATGCAGCTGGTAAGCCTAAGTAATGGCAGAGGTGGTGGCGGCGGAAGTATTCCTTTCCAGCCGTAAATAGACTCACTCGCGTTAGCTTGTTGCCATTTGGCCCCCTCGTCCGCTTTTGGTCATGCAGTGAACGTCTCGCAATCCCGCTAAGCTGAGCCCAGTAGCATGAGCAATGACATTCTGACAGTGGTGTAGCACTCATATCTACGGCACCACTACAACAGGTTGAGTCCGGAGTAGATGGTGCCTGTTTTCATGGTGAGGCACCGAGTAAATATCTGATTACTCTTGATGTCATTTCCCCTCGAGATTGTTAGTAGTGGAGATTGATCCAACTAGTCGGGTCCGGCCCGGTGGCTTCCGCCAACTCTAGTCTCATCAGCAGAGGCTGGAGCGAGCACACCGTTGCGGACGAGGAGCTCTGCGGGCCTAGGAATCGCGGTTAGGGGGCTCTGAAGAGGCAGACAGCATCATGAAACACGAGAGGTGAACGAGCTGTGGCTGTTTTCCTTTTTACCCATTCATTTTGATTAAACTTGGGCAGGCCATGTATAAGGGGCCGACGTGGTCAAATGCCTGGACTTGCTCCTATTGTCATGTATCGGTACTTGAGTACTTTGTACTTGCATGTCTGTGCTTTGCTGTCGTAGCTCCATCTGGACCCGAGATCTCACACTGGCAACTCACAAGCCACAATTATATGCTGTGCACATCATTAATTAGACGGAAGCAGGGGCGACAAGGGGACAACGGGCATCGCCGGCAAGCCATGGGGGGAAATGATTTCGTACATACGCGAGAAAAATGCAAGGCGCACGTCTGCCTGGCATCCACGATGCCAAATATCTGCTCTCAAAAAGCGGTCTTGGCTTGCATCAGTATCCACTGGTCAGTGACACGGCTGGCGGACCTGCTAGACCAAGATGATTGACAGATGGGGCAGTATCCGTAGAGTAAACGGCATTGGCGGTGGCCTGAGGTAGCAAGGCTAGGTTCTCGATAAACTTTGTGCTTCTTGAATATCCCTACCCATTGTCGAGCCCAATGGTTCGGTAATTACTGGGAGCCCTGCACACCCCTGGTTCGAGCTCTGGCGAAATATGGAAACCGTTTTGAGGCCTAACTCGCCCATTGCCAACCTTCGAAAAAAAAAATTCGCCCGGAGTCATCTGGCGGCGAACTCCCGGACCATGGTAGTGGCACAGGCTGGCATCAGCGTCATAGCGGACCTGGTTCAGAATGGGGCGGCAACGAACGGCACCGCCGAGCCAGACGAACTACAAGCAGCGACCTGGACAATGGCAGGTAGCCGGTGGCCGGGTCAGAAAATTACAAATGTTCGTACTTTGAGACAGGCAAGCCTGTACCTGGTCCATGGCATTCCGTAAATGATCTGAAAATCGGGGTCAAGCGAAATCGCCTAGACTGTATCGTAGTCAATCTAGCGGGCGAGGTCAATGTGAGCATTTTGCGTTGGGCAGGAAACATGCGAACAACTGCTTGACCGCGCAATGAATTGGCGTAGAAATAAAGTGACGGTATAGAGTAAGCCCACATAGTTTGTACAAGTGCTTAAATCGACGCACCTTGGTTTGATGCCATTACTCGAGTACCGTGGTGTTTACGGATACACATGCTGAAAATCGGGGCCCCGCGAAATGAGTAGTGTGCACAATACGGCAGATGAGGTGTTGGGACTCATGCACGATTGTCGACGTGCAGTGGACTTGCAGTGGACTCGCGCGGAGTCAAGGTGGACGAATAGAAAGTCGTCGAGGCAGAATCGGGGAAAAGCCAGAGTCATGCGGCATTATTCAAGTAGTTTCCAGTTTCCAAGAATATTTGTCCCCTGGTCATTACTGGCAAGAGGGTGGCCAGGCTCTGAAGTTCTGGAAGCACATCAAGTGGGTGATGGAAGGGAGCTAGCGACGAGCCATTGACACCAAATCTCTCGAGAGATGCGGTGCGGCCGAGTACCAGTAATTAGGTTTTGCACAGGTAGATTGGTGCCTCAGTAGCCTGATTTCGTCGCGAGTCGAGTAAGGGGAGTAGGGATGGCTTGAGCACCTGGCTCGCATGAACAAGATGGGGGCCTTGAACCTTGCAAGATGAGCCAGGTCCCTGTCATTCGCTGTTGAAGGAAGGCACCCGATGCAGCGTGCGAGACTGGGGGCCAGGGTGGCGCGTCCAGTGACAGACAGGCCCCAGGCAAGCAGGAACGCCGGGCAAGACAAAAAAAGGCGATTTGGTGGCAGAAGCTAGAGAGCGGCTGGTCCTGGCTTTGCCCTGAGGTTTGAGGCCCAGCCCAGCGAGCAGCGGTCCCAAGAGAAAGGAACTGGCTGACTGGCTCCCGCCCCAGGAACGCCAACAAATTACCAGAAGAGTCAGCCCACCGGCGGCCCGCGCAGGAGCCTGATCCGCCTGATCCGCCACCGCGCAATCTTGAGGGCGTGGAAGAAATACATTGCAGGACGAGGTGCCAGAAGGTAAGCCCATCGGCGTGACCGTCCACTGACGATGCGGCACATGGGGGTTAGGTAGGTTGGCATCGATACGGGATTATGCAGTCCAAGATGACAATTTTGGCAAGCGGTACTCGTGAGTACCCTTGCGAGAGCAGAACGGGATACGCATTGTCTGGAAGGCCAGACGGTGAGGCAGCGACAAACAACCGAGTCGGAGGGTGATGGCGGGATACCTAGACGAGAGAGGGGATGGGTGATGGTTAGTGTTGCATGACGAGTGGCATTACTTTCTTGACCGATGAACGAACTGCTGTCCGCCTTCTAGCCCCTTCGACGGGGTCAGCGGTCAAGCAGAAGATGGAAAAGAACCGGTGTGGGATCAAAGTTGGCATGGTGGTAATGTGGGCGAGCGGGATGGCGGGCAGCCGAGAGACAGGTGCAGGTCCAGCTGTCAGTCAATCAGTCAGCTTGTGGATGGTGGAGAAGGCGGGGAGGGGGGGGCGACCCTATTTACCTCCGTTCTATACATTTTGTTTGCCATTTTATTAGGCGTCTTTGGGCTGTTTAGTGCTGCAACCGAGGCGCTGGACCCCCCTGCACGCTCTGTCAGAGCCTATCGTCAGAGCTTTTACGGCGCATCTGTCACCTGACCAGCCTGTATCATAGCGGTCTGCTCACTGTAACTAAGGTGCTTGGAAGCGAGGCAGCTGCCCTCCAGGCATCATTACTCGCAGCACCATGGGCCAACTCGCTGGTACCTATGTCATCATACAAGTTATAGCGACGCGGCTGTGAGTATTTCTTTTCTATTTTGATTCCATTTCACTGGTTTCTATTTTTATTTTTCCCATTCTTTTTCATTCCTGGCCTTGACTTCATCTTCCGCTTCATTGTCATACCCGACCATCCACACACAGCCCATCTGTGAGGTTATACAATCACCATGATACAATCACGTATGACAAGGCTGTGTTGCGTTACGCGTTTTCTAATTGCACCAGCCATGACGGAATACAAGGCGTCTAATACTGCATCAATTATGAACGGTACAAAGAAATCTCCGGACGCTTGTTTCACTCGAGACTCAGCCCATGCGGAGACGGGGCTTGCTTACAACGAATCGTGGCTTCAAGCCCACTTGCTATATCCTCGTATATAACAACAAAATGAAGAATGTAATGCCTGCTCTGTGATGCATGGACTGTCAACTAGCAGTTGCCCAACATAGGGGTAGCATCTTAATTATCACGTACCACTTACCCAGGTCTACGCAAGTTCCCTGAGCCTTAGTTTGTACCCAATCGTATTCCACTAGGCGCCACACAGCTGCTCCCTGCCCGCCCTGGCCTAGTCGAGGCCGCTCCCGAGACCACCGCATCATCGTTTGCTTTGCTTCACGGCCTCGAACAAGCCCAAAAGTTCTTGATGGATTGTCATCTGGCTGTTGCATAAATCGCCAAGCCAGCACGTCTTCAGACGGCTGCGCCTTTGAACGTATCATCAAGACTGCGTCCGCCCGCTTATCCCATCGGATGGGAGGAATTCCAGTTACAATCGGGGAAAAGTGGGTGTGCATTTAATATCTCTGCAAAAGAAACCCTCTATCCTTACCGGTGATCCAGAAAAAGAGGCGCTGGCCCCCCCTTCCCCATGTCCTACTGTGACTGAAAAGCGTCGTCGTTATCGTCGTCGTCAGACATGGCGAGCTTCTTCCGTCGCCCACTTACATGCAAGAGACAAGACAAGTGCAACATGACTGATTGGTACTTTGTAAACATCGTAGTCAACGCCACAGTTGAGCCAGAAAACGGCCTCCATGGAGAAACAAGAAGAAAGAAGAAAAAAAGAAACCAAAAAAAAAGAAGAGAGAGAGAGACGGTAAGCAATAAAGTGTTCTTGCCCAGATTAGTGGACTTTGTCTCAGTCAACTAGCAGCCATGTCATCTACGCTGTTCCAGACATGCGCCAGCGTTGCTGCATATCAAAGCACAATACACTGGGACAAATAAAGTGGCACTAAAATGCTGCATCAGGCCATGTAACATAAGTTGCCAACCAAGCTTATGCTGCCTGTTCCATATTCTTCAACGCGAGGCGAGGCGAATGCACAACTTGTTTCCTTTGATCAGATCAGACCATGTCCCTCTGAATCAACAGACTCGGTCAGAGTCTCTGTCCCTGCTTTTCCATACATTGCCTCGTCAGTCTCATTGTCGTATTTACCAGGCTGCAGCTCAGTGTGGCATGCACTCTCGATTACTCGCCGACAGACGTACTCCACGCTAATGTGTCGTGCCATGTTATGCCAGATCAATCAATCAATCAATCAGACGCAGGGCACAGGTAAAAAAAAAAAATAAAAAANAAAAAGAACCGAACGGAA